AAAAGGGGTTACATAAACTGTAGTCATGAGCAATCAGGTGAGGTACATAAAAGGAATTAATGATCACATGAGCGAGAAAACTAAAGTAAGTAACCGATAGAAACAAAGCCCTAGAATTATCTGAGACAGATTAATTTATATTTGATATATGTAAATGGCCCCCACGACATAATGTGAGATCATGTAAATTCCTAATTAAAAATGTAAAAGAAAGATTTGAAACCTGAAGCAAATATTGAAAATCTCATCAATCCCTTACTAAATCAATAAAAAAAATTGCTTTTAAAAAAATGGTGTCTTAATTTTATCAATTTGCAATAATAATGAGAACATTTTCAGTTTAAATAAATTTGTTTACCTAAATTTACTAATGGATTTAAAAAAATAAAAATCATTTAACAGAATAAGATTAGTGAAATCTGAAATCAAACAATGGAAACTGATATGCAAATTATTTCTATAGCTGCAGCTGTCATATTTCTTATATTTACAACGATATGAGTAAAACTTTCAGGCGATGATATCGGAAATATCTTATGGTGTAATACTGAATCGTAGTTTTAAAGTAGAATGAATCAGTGTATACTATTAATTTACATTTGTGCGCAGTAAAACTAAATTTGTGCACAGTATGGATGTGTGTACAATCTAACTAATTTTGTGCAAAGTCTAACTGCTTTCTAAATGCAGTCCTTTATATCGCAATACCTTTTAATAACTATCTTTTTAAATACAAATTATGAATTCATTTTTAATGCCAACTTGCTGTCAGTTTCACTGTCTTAGTGAGTTTATATTTAGATCTTTTGTTTCTTCTTCTGTATTTGTCCTTAAACAAATCAGTTGGCATGTTGTGTTGTGGTTTACAGCTAAGCTGCAGTATCTGTGCATTTCATCCCAACATATCTAATTTCAGCAAACCCTTTTACAACATGCTTGTTGGGGTGGGGAAGTGCATATATACCCCTCTCCCCAAAATGGGGTCCCAGAACCCATAGGTGGTATATTCAGATATACATCTCCACTTTTAATATTTAAACAAGCTAAGCTACTTAAGGTACAGGGTAAGCAGTTAAGAAAATTACTCAGAAGCTAGGAATGGATAACTGAAGTTAGTCTCATCTACACACATGCAACTAGGACTTTTAGGAAGCATTAATTAATCACAGTAGTTACAAGTGGGGTTAATAACAATGTAACATGAAAGTCATCAACTGTAAACTATAAATAAAAGAACAAACTGACAACATAATATCAAGGTACCAAAGTATAAACTATACATCAAGATTAATGGCAAAGGTTCAAATTAATTAACACTTTTATATACTTCCCATCAATATTACATTTGAAACAGATCAACATTGCTTAGTTCAATGCTCTTCCATCTGGGTAGACAATATCAGAATTTCACTTAATAAAGTAACAGTAATCTTTTGGTAGTCGTGACTAGATACATAATTTAACAGCACCAATTTCATAACAGAAATAATAAATATCTATCTATCAAACTCCTCCCCATCTTTCCCTCTTTTGGTCAGTCTCACACACTTACACAATAACATATATACATAAAAACTATGGATCAAGTATAAAAACAAGTTGAGAACAACATCTACAGCAATCTGTGCCTGCTACTCTTTAGCTTTGCCCGAAGTTGAGCAGCGGTTCTCCAGATATGTACAGCTGTGTCACTGCAAGATGGCCAGGTGTTAGAAGAGAATACAGGTTAAACAGCTATTAATAAATTATAAAGAAATCTTGTTTTGTAAACAATATATATATATATATATATATGTTTACAAGATAAATGTATAAATACAATGAAGTAAATGCCAGTGTTCTACAAAGGTCTGTATGGAAAGCAACAATAGTAATACTGTTCCCAGCACTGGTTTTGGGGACCCATTGTGGGGGAAAAAGAAGAGACCAACTGCCCCCTCTGACAAGCATTTCATAAAAGTTGACCAATTAAGGGTGTTTCCTTCAAAGTGGGAGTGCATCTGCTTGAGAGGCACAGAACCAACAGTCTGCATACAAATAGGTCAGATCTGTTATAAAGATGTGCAGGCAAAAATCAGGTTCTGGAATAAGACCAAGTCCATCATATTTTACAGCTGGTGAACACAAAGAAGAAGACATGGGGTTCATAAGAAAAGCAAAGAACTGTAACACTACATGTCAGAAGAGGTTAGCATGGGGTTGCCTACCCCATCCTTTAGAAAACTTTAGCCACAAAATCCAACTAATTGTAAGTCTTGAAAAAAAAAAAAAAAAGGCAAGAGAATAACTCAGAGGAAAATGTCATCACAGTGAAACAACCACCCTAATAGTCTAAGGGGGCAGAGAAAAAAGTACTCACAAATTGGGAAGCAGTATGGTCTAGAATAATACCATCAACATTGGGAATACATGAAAAAAAGTTTCAAAAAAAAAAAAAAAAAATGACAAGGATGAATGAATTAAGAAGGAATTTTCTACACAAAACCTCAAAGTACCATAGGTTATCAAAGAAAGGCAATATTAAAATATTGCTAGGAGTTGTGAATGCCAAGAACACAGACTATGAAAAGATCATGGGGAAAGATGAACAGAGGCATGCTTCTTATTCCTTACATAACCAGCAAGAATCATCTAAATGTTTTGAGTGAGACTCAGATATGAAGACATCACAAAATATAGAAAGAGGCAGTTACCTGATTAGAGACTGATGAAAAATTCAGATCTCTACATATGACCTTTAAGTATGGAAATCAATACAATGTAGGATATCTAAACAAAAAAAATGATGGAACAATCTCTGCTGTCTCTAATATGTATGAGGTCCTGCATGAGTTAGTTGAACAAAATGTAATAAACCAAGTGGACTGATCACAAATAGAAATGACAAGGTTTTTCCCAACTTTATTCAGATAAACCATTGGAGACACGAGGAGGGAAGCATTCAACTATTTGTCCCATTCTGATTCTCAGAGACATAGAACCATAGGACCAGAACAGAATTTTCAAACTTCAAACTCAACAAACATCCCGGATACATTCAATCTGATCAGTTCCTTACAGAATAATTACTAAGTACACATCTCTACATGACTGTTGAACACCACTGATTGGGGTCTTCTTCTTCTTAGCACTCACCAGCTGTAAACTCCAGCGGAAAGTTCTGGTTGTTCATCCACTTCTGGACTTCAGTCTTGTTCCAGAACTTGAGTTTTGTGTGCACATCAGTTTTAGAGATTTTTTTTTTAATGTAGACTGGTGGTTCCTTGCCTCTCAGCCAGATAACTCTTGACTTCAAAAGAAAGTCCCCTAATTAGTTGCCCTTACAACAGATTGTTACTGGGGGAGGGGGGGGGGGCATGGGTTTATTCCTCCATCCCTCCCTCGTAATGGAGCCCCAGAACCCACATGGAGCCCCAGAACCCACATGGAGAGATATGGGTGTTCAGCTGTGCAGAGAGATGGGTATTCAGCTGTAAAGTTATCAGAAGATGGCTATTTTCATGAGACAAATGAAAGGAACCCTTTATAAGGAACACCACTGTGACTACTAACCACCTGCTGACAGTGGGCTGAAGGATGGAAGCCCAGGTGTTGCTGGATCAATTACAGAATGTTAAAGAATATATACTTCTAGCAAGCTACTCAAATGGGATACAATAAATAGAAACAAATTACAGCTACATTTAAATAAGCTACTATAGAATTACAATAACAACAGGTACACTTTAATTAAAAAAACTGTTGCAACTAAGACAAAAAAGAGCAGATACATGTCTGGCAGGCTACACTTTAGTCAACGCTTTATTACATATAACATCAATATATCTACAAATATCTATTCTGACTTTACAATTGAACCAGGAAGCATGGAGTCTATTATTATTATTGTACTAATAAATATTTATGTCTATTATTATTATTATTATTTTGTAGATTAAAATTCAACACATGATTGTCACAACTGCATTTTCTTTTTTACTTCTTGTATTTAAAGTTGCTTATTCAACCTTGTAAACAATTTCTAAAATAAATAAAGAAATGTTTTTATTTAATGTTTAGAATTATTCTTGAATTTACATTAACTCTGAGACATACAGAGAAATAGGACATAAGGTTCCCTTTTTATCTCTACATAAATAAACCTCTTCAATTTATAAGATAAGATGTTAAGTGAGCTAGGAATCCTCTGAGAAACAATACCCTATTAAGTGGACTACTTTAGGCAATGTTATAGGTTAGTAAGGGATATAGACCAAAGTTAGTTTTTTTTATACATATGAAATAATATTAGCAGTGTGTACAAGACCCTCTACCTTAGAAACAACATAGAAAGCTATTGTTACAACACAGGTGGGAGGGAAATAGTGGCATGACAGGAAAGTCACATGCAAAACAAACATTCTGAAAGGAAAGGTGCACACAGAAGGTAAAATGAATTGACTGTGAAAACCTAATTTCAATAAGATTTTAATAATGAGAATAGTAGAAGAAACGCTTGTTTGTTTGTAATTTTGTGTTAAAGAATGCAAACACACTTACCTCTCATGCTCATGAAGAATTTATTTATAATGCACAAAAGTTATCTATATATACCCATTTGTGATGAAGACAGAGGTCTTATAACAAAATAGTATATACAGGGTATGAATATGAAGAATATTATGTGACAAGATAATGATACATCAAAGAGTTAACTACAAAAAGAAATGCAGTCAAAAAGGATCAGGTACAACAAGAAAAAAACCTCACAACAATCATGGATATTGTCAAATGAAACACTAATACAACATCAGTTATACCCAGTAAGATACACAGACTTTACACAGCCAAAAACATACATAAACCGTTTATGTTTTCCTCTTCAGCTATCTTTTTGGCAGTTTCTCAAAATCTAGTTAAGAATTACTTCTAGTTTTGAAAAGGACAGCTTCACAAACATTTATATTCTTGAATTTGTTTTAAAAACAATTTACTTGAAAACATAATTTTCATGAACTTACTTGGAGGCAGTGAATATGGATGTTGAGTTTGTGGCAATTGCATTGATAGCAGAAGAATGGGCTCGGATCTCACCCAGACTAACACATGTATCTGGCTGCCACAACTTCAGGAAGCCACCCCGACAACCACTCAGCAAAATGTTGGAGCCAGGTAGAAAGTCCAGAGCACATACCCAGTCTTTGTGAGCTGCATTGATGGACTGCAGAAGTAGTAATATACAAATAGATTCATGATTATTAAATTACCCAGTTACAACTGCCTTCAGTTAGACCTATAGCTGAACAGCACTTAAATACATCACAATTTGGTTTCAGGAAAGGGAAAGGGTGCATAGAAGCATTATTTACACTTAAGACAAGTTTGCAAGAAAACCACACCAAACATATGATGTTTATGTCTACACTGGAGTAAGTTTGTAGTTCCATAAACCACTCACTCAGGGTGACGTCTATTTTGCATACACATGACAATGTTCATTACATGTTGTAGTAATCTGCTCATCATAAATCACTTCTGTCATTAAGATGCGTCATGGGGAGGAATATATCTACAATCCAGTACACACTGGCTGTCATTGGTTATTGTCATGCCGTGAAGATGTAAAATATCTGTAATGTTGTCAAACCATTATTTTTCATGAGAGTTCTAAACAATTTAAAAAATTTGTTTTAGAAGAAAGAAACTGGTACATGGTGTGACGACTGGACAGATCTGTAGAAAGAGAGATAGAGGAAGACAACATGAGAAGATGAACTGACACATGTCATTGGAAATCACAAGTTGTGGAAGGACATGATCACCCACACCAGCAGGCAAAGCACCTGATGATGATGAAGAGAGGATATTTTGTTTTGCGGCAAATACACTGAATGTCTGAAGCTTTGAGAAATTAACACAGAACTAAACATATAGTACATCTGTTCCAATCGGCAGACTGTAACAAAACAGTTTGAGCCTTACATGTCTAAGTTGTGCTGATGTCAAGTCCCATTTTTTAATGCACATGTCCCTGGATCCTGAGAAGAGAACATTTCCTCTCAAAGCCAAGCTCTGAATACCGTCATAGTGGGGAGGCTCTAGGTTGTATTTTGGAGAGATGATTCCCGCAGCATCTTCAATGACTTCAAAAATCTAAGACACAATAAATAACAAATTAGTTACTGAAGAGGAGAAATACTGACATCTTGAAAGATTTGAACATCAAGGAAGATTAACTAATAAACAGCATCCTGTCTCGGAAGCTGAAATATTTTGGTGGTCATATCAAGCGCTACGATGGAATGGAACAAATTATAGCAGAGGGCATGGTACCAGAAAGGAGGAGCAGGGACCAACACGAAGATGGGCACAAGATATAAGTGACTTCTTGAGTATGAAAGTACATGACGTGGGAGAGCTGGTGACAGACCGAGTTTCTTTCAGGCAGACTGTGATTAGAGTGACTTTCTGCAAAAGGATCTGCTACATGATGACGATGATGATGATGAGTTACTGATATACTGGAAATGTGATCACCAATGACTACAGAAAAATTGATTGACTGTTAACTAAAACATCATCTCTGCACTCAGGATGCACAGATAAGTGATCTGTCTCTCTGATCAAATGACAGAGAGTCACAGGCTAACTGTTCACTAATTATGAACGGACTTACATCATCATATATAGGAATCCCCGTGGCGGAGCGGCTAGACGCTCGTCGCAGATTGGAAGGTCGTGGGTTCACTCTTTGGCGGAGCTGGTGTTTTTTCAAAAATGACCTTGGCTCTCAGGTAGACCCAGCCTTGAGTGAGTATCGGGTGCAGTCCCTGGAAGTAGAGGCGGCCGGCGTAATGCTGATTGACCACATCACCCATCTTTTCCCGACTGGTCTATAAAAATATAGGTCTAGCCCTATATGCCCTATACGCTTAAAAGCGTGGAAAGGGTCCTTTACTTTTTTTTACTTACGTATATATATAAAATCATCATTATCCTTTGTGTGCTGTTAGACATCACACAGAGCTTACATTAGATTCCTTCACTCATTCCATTGCATGCAACTCTCTCGATTTCTGACATAGGGTTCAACTCAGCATTTTTTCTTCTTGTAATAATGCTCTTCTCAGACCGTTTGTTTCCCATTTTAGTGCTTGTTTTGTAATTCTTTGCTCATTTCATCTCAGGGTGTGCCCAATATATCTCCACCTTCCTTGTCTTACTGCAGTCTATATGAGTCTACACATTTCTCTGATCTCCTCGCTCTTTTTTTTAAAAAATTAATTCAATTTTAGTGAAATTCAGTGTAAGCTGTCAAAGGATTTTTTGAAGTAAAAAAAAAAATAAAAAATCAGGATGAGAGGTTGTTGCTTCTTAATGTGTTCTTCTAGAATAAGTATCAGGGTAATTGTTAGTTCCAGACAACTTCTTCCAGTTCTAAATTAAGCTTGTTTTTGTCTCATGATTGTATTAACTGTCTATTTAATTCTCTCTCTTCTCATTCTCTCTCTTCTCTCTCTCTCTCTCTATATATATATATTTATATATATATATATATATATATATATATATATATATATATATATATATATATATATATATATATATATATATATACACTCACACACACATACATGTGCACACACATGCACACACCTATGGATGACTTCTTAACAAGCATATAGAAAAAGGTGATCAATTAAAGATTTGCTGCAAATGGATGTGTTGGGCCAAAAGGTGCAGATATCACATACTAGCTGTAGACCACAATACAACATGGGAACTTCCCAGAAGAAGAAGAAGAAGAAGAAGAAGAAGAAGATGAAGAAGAAGAAGAAAAAGCTGGATGTGTTGGCCAAAAGAGGCAAATATTGCAACTCTGATGTAAAAAGACAACACAATTACATCAAGACAAAAATATATCGGATGAGCAATGAGAAACACTAAAATAAGGAAGAGTTTAAAAAAAGTATGTTGTGTGCAAACCTTTATATAGTGATCCTTGGAACCTGAAATGACCATACTGTGCTCTCCCTCACAGCTGAGGGCCAGAGCCATGACCGGAGCTTGGTGACCACTCAGCCGCCCAGCCAGGCTAAATCTGTTGTGTATGATAAGCAAAACACCAACTTAAACATCACCATTAACATCATCCTGTTGTGCCTCTATCTGCCACACAAGGCTCAAAATCTATAGTCCATTCTGTTCTACCTTGTGCAATCCTCTCATCCATTGAATCAAATCCAGCACTTTTGGCCTCTCTCAACCACATTTGACTAAGTGTTTCTTATGGACGGCTTTATCTCCTCAATCCATTTATTTCCTATTTCAGTACCTGTTTGGTGATTCTCTGTTTGTTTCTCCTGATGATGCACCCAATATATTGCCATCATCTTTAACTTATAATTGATGATACAAGTGGTTATGTCTCCACTTTTCTTGAATTCATCCTATTAAATGTTAAAAATTCAATTTCATGTCTTTAGTGGTTCTCCAATTTTCACTGGCATATGTAAAAACTGAAATAACATTAGAGCTAAAAATAAGGAACTTAATGTACAGTTAAAAACGTAACCATGAAATTAAGACAGGATAATAAAAAAGATTGAAAGTCAACAAATTAGTTTCTTGACTCATTTAACCCAGGTAAACACAATTCACTGTAAATCATACCCATACAACAATCGATCTTGTGGTCTCGGAGATGTGGTTTTATAGAAGAATCTTTAGAATTCCCCGGACAGCCAAGAAGAGCAACTCAGATGATTTGAAAGAGGCAAGTGCACAGAGACAACATCACAAACATCAAAAAGAGACAGTCATCCTTTTTTGGTCATATTATGAAATGAGGGAAAATGGAACATGTTGTGACCACTGGAAAGATCTGTGGAAAGAGAGACAGAGGAAGACAGTGCAAGAAGATTCTTGACTGCTTTTTGTCATGGCATGGAGGGGTGTCAACACACGAACTGATACATACAGCTGCAGATCGCAGATTGTGGGAGGCATGATCACCCCCATCAGTCAGCAAGGCACTCAATGATGATATACAATTCAAATATGTCATATTACAAGCATGCTTAGTAAGATATCTGTCTAAGTAAAAAGTCAAAAAAAAAAAAAAAAAAAACAGTTTATTTCAGTTCAAAATGTTTGTGCATAAAGTGTAAAAAGGTTTAAAGTCAAGAATATAAGCAGCATCTCAAAGAGGCTTTTTTCCCTCCCAAAAATGACTATTTGCCTGCCGAGAGGACTGCACAATGCACAAACACTGTAGCTTCCACGACGATTCCCAGGCATCTCCATTAATATTGCAACTATGAACCAGATAAACAAGTCCAAGAAATGAACCCATGACCTGTACAGCATGAGACGAATGACTTGACCACTATGTCAAAGAGACACCCCTAATGAAGTCTTGCCAATTAATAATCAAGAAAATTTGTTCGTACCTAAGAGAAGACAGTAGCAAGATGGTTGATATTTTACACAGAACAGGCATCCTACCAGACGTAACTAGTAGTAGTTTCTGTAAACTATTCTAATCTTTTTGTCGCTATGACCTATTCTAGTTGCACTGTTGCTATAATACAATCTAATCTCATTGCTGTTGTAACTCACTCTAATCCAATGGCTGCTCTAATCCACTCTAATCTCACTGTTGCTGCAACCCACTCTAATCTCACCTTTGCTGAAACCAACTCTAAATTCACTGTTGCTGAAACCCACTCTAATGCTGAAACCCACTCTAATCTCACCACTGCTGTAACCCACTTCAATCTCACTGTTGCTATAATCAATTTCATCTCAATGTTACTGTAACCCACTCTAATCTCACTGTTGCTGTAACCCACTCCAATCTCACTATTGCGCTACACTGTTGCTGTCCAATGTGCAATTGAAATATTCTGTCGATCAATCACCTGTTGCTGTAACCCACTCTAATCTCACTGTTGCTGTAACCCATTCTAATCTCACAGTTGCTGTAACCAACTCCTGTCTCACTGTTGCTGTAACCCACTCTAATCTCACTGCTGCTGTAACCCATTTTAATCTCACTGCTGTTGTAACCTATTCTAATCTCACTGTTACTGTAACCCATTTTAATATCACTGTTGTAATCCATTCTAATTTCATTGTTGTTGTAACCCATTCTAATTTGATTGTTCTTGTTACCTATTCTAATCTCATCTTAAAGCTGTAACCCACTCTAATCTCACTGGTGCTGTAACCCACTCTAATCTCGCTGTTGCTGTAACCCACTCTAATCTCGCTGTTGCTGTAACCCATTTTAATATCACTGTTGTTGTAACCCATTCTTATTTCATTGTTGTTGTAACCCATTCTAATTTAATTGTTGCTGTCACCCATTCTAATCTCATCTTAAAGCTGTAACCCACTCTAATCTCACTGCTGCTGTAACCCACTCTAATCACAATTTTGCAGTAGCCCACTCTAATCTCTTTGTTGCTGTAAGCCATTCTAATCACAATTTTGCAGTAGCCCACTCTAATCTCTTTGTTGCTGTAAGCCATTCTAATCTCTGTTGCGGTAACACACTCTAATCTCATTGTTGCTGTAACACACACTCTAATCTAACTGTTGTTGTAACACACTATAATCTCACTGTTGCTGTAACACACTCTAATCTCACTACTGCTGTAACACACACTCTAATCTCACTACTGCTGTAACAGACTCTAATCTCACTGTAGCTGTAACAGACTCTAATCTCATGTTGCTGTAACAGACTCTAATCTCACCTTTGCTATAACACATTATGATCTCACTGTTGCTGTAATACTCTAATCTCGCTGTTGCTGTAACACTCTAATATCACTGATGCTGTAACCAATTCTAATCTCACTGTTGCTGTAACAAACTCTAATATCACTGTTGAGGTAACCCACACTAATCTCATTGTTACACAGACTCTTTCCGAATCAGACAGCTATACTTCACTGTGACAACTTGTCTGAGAGAGAAAGAGCAGTTCTTCTTTTTCTGCAGTCACCCATAAAACGGCAGCTGGCACAAAGCCAGGCTGTGATATCTGTACCTTTCAGTGAATCCTTAATCAGTTGCTTTTATGACATTGCTGTTTAATGAGCAGTGGGTTGCCCCTCTCCCTTTAACCCTAAATGGGATCTGGAACACAGGAGGAAGAAAGAACTCAGGAGCCACATATATTCTGTACATATTTAAGGTAAGTACGGCTGTATCTTCTATATCTAATATACATACCTCCTCAAATCCCAGATCTGAACAACATTGCCAGCCCCACAAAACAATGTGTTGCCATCAGGAGACAGCTGAATATCATTAATCTGGTGATCCCGGAACAAAGAGTCTGTATGCTTGCTCACAGTAAAAGCTGCAGAACCACTTGTTGATAGACCTGAAGAACTGTGGAAACGAGCAGTTTGGTCAGTTACACAAAATTTGTGGTTCATTCTTAAAAACACTGGAAAGTTTGAGAAGAGAAGCATGCATGCACACACACATCCATAAACACACACACAGAGAGAGAGAGAGAGAGAGAGAGAGAGAGAGAGAGAGAGAGAGAGAGAGAGAGAGAGAGAGAGAGAGAGAGTGAGTGAGAGAGAGAGAGAGAGTGAGTAAGAGAGAAAGAGAGAGAGAGAAAGAGAGAGACTGAGCAAGAAAGAGGGAGGAGAGAGAAGAAGTTGTAGTGTTGGTAATAAGAAGAAGAAAAGAGGAAACAGAGAGAGGGAGAAAAAGAGATGGAGAGAAGGACAGAGAGAGGGATGGGGAGAGAAAGGGAGAGAGAGAGAGAGATTCAAATGATAACTACAGTACACTGTTAAAATATAAATAATAGATTATGCACCAACATGTATAAGACATTTTTTTCCTCTTCTTCACTCTTCTGTGTGCTCAGTTTCACACGTTCAGGCAGACCATTTGCATGTCAGTTGCATGGTTCCCCTAGCTTGCTCTACACACTTTGTCCTGAGGCCAGGTTTCTCTTCGTAGTTTGAATACAGTGGGCAGGCCTGCATAATCTGCTCAGGTGCTTGTGGTCCCATCTATTATGCACACTGGGGGGGGGGGGGGGGGGAACTTTTTTTTTTTCAGTATTACGAGCCCTTGAGGATCATTGCAGCAAATATCACCCACCTATATTTATCTCTCTGGTTGGCCTTCTCTTTCCAGTTGGTGACACCAAATGTTTGCAGGTCTGTCTGGATATTATCTCTCCGTAGTCTTCTTGGTCTGTCTCGTGGTCTACGACCAGTCATCTCCATTGTGTACATGGTTTTCACTTCTCCATCATCCGACATTCTCTCAATATGACCCAGCCATTTCAGTCTATTAGCTCTCATGAAGCCAGTGATCAGTGGTGATTTAAACAGATTATGAATTTCATGGGGACCATACAGTTTTTATTTTAATAACAAATTTGAAATTGGAGCAACAGTCACATGCACGTTTGGTGCCCTGAAAGCTAAACATATACTCCAACACTGCAGACGGAGACAGTATACGCTGAGCAAACAAAGTAGTAGTAGTAGTAGTAGTAGTAGTAGTGGTAGTAGTAGTAGTAGTAGTATTAGTGAAGAAGAAGCAGTAGAAAAAAAAGAAGAAAAAGTGGAAGAAGAAAAAGAAGAAGAAGAAGAAGAAGAAGAAGAAATACAATAGCAAATTAAATGCTCAAGAACAGATCTGACCTCAGAGTTTTGATACAAGGCTCAGAACTGTTCCTCATGTCCCATATTCTGATGGATGAGTGTGACACTGTGAGCACAAGCTGTGTCTGGCTGCAGTAAGTCACTTTATGAACATTATTTGGATGTCCTGAAAATGACATCAGCTCTTTCCCAGTCCCAAGATCCCAAACTTTTGCAGTACGGTCTGCAACAGAGAAGATGTGAGCAACAGTGAACAAATATCATCATCGTCTTAACTCTACCACATGGCTGTCCTGATTTTTCAGCAATTTTCGAACCTGCCACTGTACCGTTGTCCCTATTTTTGGGGGCAGTTTGCGTACTACGTGATAAAATGCACCACAAACTAAAAATAACCAATCAGTCGTGATCAAACCTCGTGGTTAGTCATTGTGAATGACTGCCCACGTGTGTTTGGATTTATTTTGTGAGGTTTAACGGGAAAAAATTCTGAAAATTCACAATGAAACGAGCAGCTAATGAACCATGCACTTTGATAGTAAAGTGAAGTAGGTCTAGGTTTTTCAGTCCAACAGGTGATTCAGACTTTGAGGAGTCAGAATTTCATCAAGAATAGGTTCCCAGTTGAAGTGACACAGTCAGTCACAGTTCGATTGATAAGGAGAATCTTGAAAATTAAAGATCTAGAACTAGATGGATAGTAAGAGAAGGGAGTGTGTCCCTCAAACAGCAACATCTGGTGCTCACTTTGTGAAACAAGGCTGATCCTGTTAGGTGGATTGGCACACAAAGGTGGAACATTGGTGCCCGATGAAAAGTAACCCTATTTTCTACAATGTCTCAAGTTTCATCTTATTCTAACCACTTGTTTGCAGGTAACTAATATTTTTGTATATCATGTTTGTTTTTTCGTATTAATGCCCAGGAGACAAAAGCTGCAGGATTGGATTCCATCCATAACATTGAAAGGATTGCAGTCTAGAATAGATCAGTGGAATATAATATTCTAGAGGAATGGAGCCTTTGGTGACATTTAATGACACAACATGATGATGATGATGAAAAAACATATTATATTAACTGCAACACTGAGATAATTGATTAAACAATGCAAGTTAACAATTTTAGCAGAAGGGAGTGTGCAGTAAAGAAAACTTGCAGTGAAGAACAGTGAAGTTTTTGTTGTACAGAGTGGGATATCTGTCCCTATAGCCTTTTCAACGAATCCTTAATTAGCCCCCGTTAATGACATGCTTGATAAAGAGCAATGGATCTACCCCCCCCCCCCCCCCAATACTTGGGCCATGTAAACCTCTTGAGGAATTTTCGATACAAGTAATGAGTTCTCTTCATAATCTGTTTTTGTTCAAACCAGTTCCATAATATTAAAGATGACAAAACACAGAAAATTTAAATATTTTGGTCAGTTGAAACGTTTGAAAGTTTGGAGTGAACAATAATGGAGGGGTATATACCTGGGAGTCAGCTCTGTGGCTAAGTCGATGCGAACGCTTTGTAATGCCGGGGTGCCGGGTTCGATCCCAGCTGCGGGCCATGCGCCTTGCGTTGGTTTCGACAGTGATATCAGGGGACCGACCATCCAGAAAGCAATGGCAAACTACTGTTTGTAAATTTGCTTAGAAAAATCACATAACAGCCAGGGGCTGTTGGGGTTGGTTCTGCAACGTCCTGTAAAGGATACGCAACTAACTAACCAATATACCTGAGAGGAGAGGAAGAGAAAGGCCAAAGAGAAGATGGGTGCAGGATGTGGCGGATGATTTCCAGATGGGTGAATTGGACGAGGGACATCTTGCTTGTGATCGAGAAGTTTTCCGGAGGGTTGTAATGTGTGCAAGGTTTTGCAAAGGACATATTACTGACTGACTGACATTTCCATAACTTTATCTATCCATGGTGTTTTCAGCACTTTGCAGCCTCATAAAAAGCTACTGACTGCCCAGGATTCAGACATCACAACTGTGTTTATATAGCACTCAATGAAAGCTGCTTTGGCACTGGATATTCCACATGTCACCTCTTTTTGTTGTTGTTGCTGTTATCAAGTTACCTGGATATTTGCATTCACTCACAAGCTTCTGAACTGCTCCACTGACTATGAACTGAATGGAGCAACAACAATGAAATCCTTCAACTCTGTAAATTTACATTAGCGACTTCATAGCCTGAGTAATTAATCTGACATTAGCAGATAACACTTTCACTACCAGAAAATTCAACATATGTTCTTTGGTTATATTTACAGCCCAAATTTAGCAACTTATGCTGCAAATATCTTCTGTTAAGTTATCGCTTGTTGCTGTAGATCTGTAGTTTTCAATTTCTTAGATCTAAAAAAAAAAATGGCTACTCTTCTGCTTGCCTCTAGACCCTGTTCTACACTTCAGCATAAGGTTTTGAAGAGGCATCTGGTGTGAGTGTGTGCTACGCACATTTTGATTTTCATGGCCCTGGACATTTCTCTATCAAGTGCTTGCCCGAGTGACCTCTAGTTCTGCCTCAGTTGTGTCTTAAGTGACAGGGCTCACTGTGGTGCACTATCTAACTGAAAGAGTTAAAGAAAACAAAATGGAAACACTTTATCACAGGAGCTTTAACAACTGACACTAACCTTTGCTCCCAGTGAAAAGCAGATGGTCAGTGGCAAAAACTGAGAGAACTGACTTGGTGTGGCCTTCTGCTGTGTGGGTACAAGTAAGGAGAGATTTCCCTGTTCCAGACTGTCGGTTCCATGAAGGCATGATACTACCCCTGAACAAAAACAATGAAAGATGAATGAATGAATAAAAATGTTTATACCTTCTTCTTTGTTGATAGAAAAAAACATTAGCATTTTCTATAAACAATTGGTTTTTCCTAAGAGCAGGGGCTGAAACAAGGACTTTAAGCAAGGAAAAAATAAGCTAAAGCCCATGTTCAAGACTTGAAGTAACCAGAAAAAAGAGGAACAAGGAAAACTTGGGCAAGCTACATTAGTAACAAAGGGAATACAACATTCGTCACCTGATATGAATCAACTGAAAAAGGGCAATAAACAGCTTCAAGGAATACAGACTGAGATAGGGGGCTTTGAATAGAATATTGTAAATGAATATGCACATCGAGAGTCCTTTGTTAAAAATGAGCAGTGGGATTGGATAAAAGATACTGAACAACTCCCAGGTGATCAAGTCCTTATATGTGGCAACTTTAATGCACCCGCCTATGAATGGGATCAGACAGGGGAAAATAAAGAAGGAAAAGCCTTGGAAGAGCTCTGTTGGAATCAGAGTTTGTCTGTATCAACGATGGTAAACCTACAAGAATGGCAATGAGGCCAGGTGATGCAGACACTGCCACAGATCTTGCACTGGTCTCAAGGATTGAAGAAGCAGACACTGTATGGAGTATACTTCGTGATCATGGAAGTGTCCACCTGCCATGTACTGTCCAGCTGTCTAAATTGGGCAAGACCATGGTAATGAAGGCACGTAAAGTTCTCAGATTGCACAGTTTTCAGATATGACAATAATAAGCACTTATTAGGTGCCTTAGGAGAAAAGTATGGTCAGAGGCCACCAGGAGTAAATTCATTCAGCTACCATGGTTCTGGAAACTTCATAGGCAGATGAGTCAAAAGTAGTGGCCCACCTTAGTTTGTACAATTTACTGTGAAAATGGCTAGGTCCTGACAACTGACAGTGAGAAGGGGGAGGCTTCAGACCAGATAAGAATGACCAAACCATCAGGATTGCTGCTGTTAGTGATCTTACTAGAACAATCAGAGACACAGACATAAGTGAACATTGTGAAAGTAAATGATATATAGCATATGCTGAAGAAGACAAAAGATGGGGCATCCGGGCCAGGAGGAGTTAGGTTTATAGGCAAGTTTAAGTTATGAGGAACTTAGGGAAAATGAGGAACTTAGGGAAATGGCATCATGTTTCAACAGCAGTATTGCAACAGTGTCAGTTCCAATGGACTTGCTTCATAGTTACCTCATACCACTCCCAAAACTAAAAAAAGATCATACCAAATTGAATAGTTATAGAATTATTATGTTACATAATACATTCGGTAAGATCTTTGAAAAGATTGTGACAAATTACAGTATTACCTTGAAAAACACACACTCTTACTGACAGGGTTAGGAAGTTACCGGCCAAGAAGGGAGATGTGGGAAAATGCAGCATTACTGCCTTACGATGTATATAAGGGGTTTCAACATAAACATGAACCAGTGGTGGCAGCACAAGATTTAGAAGATGCTCATAATAAGGTTAGATATAACATGTTACTGTACACTTATGGATATGGAGGTCAGTCCCTGGATTGTGAATTGTACTGCAGGTGTCCTGTATGAATGGCAGACTGTCTTTAACCTAGACTCGTGCAGTTCTGAACCATGTAGTATCACACCTTTCCTCCCACAGGGTTCCGCTATTTCCCCAGTGGTTTTCAATATTAACACAAGCACGATAGCGAATCTTGACATTTTACTGACGATGTCTTAGTCTACACACAGGGGAGAAACAATAGAAATATCTAGAAATCTGCAGTTTGCTGTAGATAAGGTCGGTGAGCGGTGTGAGTAAGCAGGCTTATTCATCAACCCAGATAAGGTGGCGGTATTGTTGTGTTCTTTAAATAATAGAACTGTTAGAGATGTGTTGCTGCACATCAAAACAAATGGCAGTAATACAGGAAGATAATGTAGTAAAATATCTAGGAATGACTTGTGACAGGAGTCTGTCTTTCAAATACCATATGGAAGAGGTAGTTTTAAAGACAGAGAAAGGACTCAATGCTTTGAAGGTGATGACCTTGGTGGACATGGAACAGAAAATGTTCTATACAGTCTATCAGCAACTATTTATTTCTGTGGTGGAGTATGGTCTGGGACTGCTAACATCATTTCATACCCAAATACAGAAGCTGGAACACATACAAACTGAAGCCATACAAGGCATTTTGGGTACACACAAGACATGCCAATTGTATGCACACGGCACATACTTGCATTACCATCCGTATATGAAGAATACAAGGTTTTACAGGCGAAAATGTACCTTAAAATGGCAACAGATTTGGAAAATCTTCTTAGGGCAGTGGTTCTTAACCTGTGGGTCGTGACCTTTTTTTGGTCTAAGGGGTCACCTAAGACCATAAGAAAACACATATTCACTGAAGTTATGAAATAACAATGAAAATAGTTTTACGGTTGGGGGTCACAACACAAGGAACTGTATTAAAGGTTGCGGCACTAGGAAGGTTGAGAACCACTGCCTTAGGGGATTGCAAGGGACATCAGCTGAAAAGAGGTGGATCATGGATGGCAAAGGTAGAAATCACGATCAGAACTGTTTGTGCTACTGATAAGATAGCGCATGGTGAAAAATGGGTTACAGTGCCGCCCAGCAAAACAGACCTGCATAGAGTGATAATTACCTTGGACTGAGACTGCCGGGAATGGACAGCTGGTGAAACAGGGTCAGTGGTGAAAGGGATGATCAATGAAAATTCACGTCTTGGTGACAGTTGCTTAGGTGCATATTATGGATTTTCAGTTGAGGACAATCAGGTGTGTCAGGTAACAGGTAGAGTGTCTCTCGCCGCCGCTCCTCTGGGAGGTCAGCTACTATATGATAAAGCGGATGTGGTGAAAGCTCAAATGAGCAGTGCAAAAGAACAGATAGGGAATCCATTCACCGACAGATTAATTAAACGTGGGATGAGTAGAGGTTCTGAAGGTGAAACAGAGGTAGACTTTTAATCAGGTTACAACTGGTACTGTTAGCATATCAACTCTTCGTTAGTTACCGAAGAAGGGGAAGGAGCACATGTGGGAAAGTATCAAGAACAGTGATGTCAATTTTTTGATTGATTGATTTATTTATTCATTCATTCAGTTACTGAGTGTCAATTTTTTAGAGGTGAAAGATACACACACAAAAACATGTAATAATGTCAGCCTACCTGTCAGGATTGGCCAAAGAGCTTGCAGGGTTGCTGGTAAGCCTGGAGAATACATTCTCATCTGTGCTCCTGGTCATGGATCTCCTCACAGTTGTGGGTGAGGCTGGGGGTGTGGTGTCTGATGCCGTGTCTCCTCTGAAACAACAAGGTTGCGGTGAGATATGGACACACATGTTGTGTTCACACTAGAAAGCACATTATATCTGTTGTCTATTCTGAACATTAAGGTTTCTTCATCCTTTAGTTTTGAACTGGTTGTAGAACATCGTCATATACCTGGCCAGATATCGTAGATCAGGACTACTCAACTAGCAGCCCACAGGCCAGATTTGGCCTGCGGAGGTCTTGCAAGTGGCCCACAGATCAATGCAAATTGTATGTATTAATGATCTTTCTAAGCTAGGGGTCAGGAGTCGCCGTGGTGAAGCAGCTAGATGCTCGCCTGCAGATCAGAAGGTCGTAGATACACTCCCTGGCAGAGCCGGACATTTTTCAAAAATGACCTTGGCCCCCAGGTCGACCCAGCCTTGAGTGGGTACCGGATGCTGTCCTGGGAAGTAAAGGCAGCTGAAGTGATGCTGACCACATCACCCATCTTGTGCCGATTGGTCTAGCCCTATATGCCTTGGAAAAGGGTCCTTTACTTTACTTTCTATGCTAGGCTCTCAGGCCTGTCTCAGCCTATCCAGCATTACCTATTTCAGTCTGCCATTTTCTTGTCTGCTAATATCTCCAGATATTATGAGGCTCTCCAAAACTTCTCTTCTTTATGTGCCTTCAGGTCTAACTCCATCTTTCTGTTTTTGCCCTATATGTTTTGTGTAAAGACACTCTAGTCATTACTATTAAGTAAAACTTTGATTAACCGTTACCGTCTGGACCAGGGCTTTGACAGATAACTGATTACACGGATAACATAAGTGTCTTAATACATATGTACAGTAATGAGATTTCACTGCAGGTTTAAGTTGAAATATGAAATTAAAATCCTTTCAATAGGAATAATAAATAAATATTTTAAGTTCGCAAAACGATCAATATATACTCTAATAGTAGTATTGTACAAAAATTTATTGTAATACTCAAAACCTAAGTTACTTTAAAATAATCTGTCCCCTACTTCTATGTCTTTGATGACCGAGCTTTCTGCGTGGCAATGCTCTGTATCTTATTCAGAAGTAGGATCTGTGCTGCATTGTCTCCTCTTGCATTTCAAACCAGTCAATGTCCTTTGCTAAAAAAAAAATTTTTTTGCTTCTGAGGGGCTAGTCGTAGTTTTTATTTTTTTATTTTTATTTAGATGATGACGGATAACAGAAACTGAAGGTTGAACGAGTGATGGTTGACTAAAGTTTTACTGTACCAGGTTTTCTAACTATTCCTCGACAGTGTCTTTTTCCTACCTTTTGTTTCACTAGAATTTGTTTAGCTCTATCCCAAAGTTCAATCGTTAAACCATTGAATTCCACCTATGCTGCAAAATTAAAGAATATTTATAGTTTTTTTGCAATTCTTTTAGTCATTCTCCAAATTTCTGCTGTAAATTAATAATATAAATATAAGGCTGGAATAATAAAATACATGCGAGGCTCTAAAGATATATAAATATCTCTCCCTCCCCCCCCCCATTCGTGCACGATGCGCGTATAGTAATTTCTATCTGTAATAATCTTTTTAACTTACCAAATTCTCCTCTTATGTAAAACACTTAAAGACACATATCGCTTGTTCAAGCAGAAGGTTTCTAAACAACATGAAGTAATCCACACACTTTTCCTACAACTAAAAAAAATTCATTCTGTACGAAAAAGTTAGCTGTGTATCTTTAACAAGATACTGCAGAACTCCAGCATTTTTTGGCTGTTGTGGTTTTTTTTTCTAGGCAAGTTTTACATTCAGTAGTTTGCCACTGCTTTCTGAACAGACTATAAAACATGTTGATGAACTTACAGTGAAATAGACCTGCTGAAGCTCCTCCTACTAAGTATTGGAGATGGTTCCCTCTGAGGTAGATCTTTTCTACGAGGAGTGGGGGACAGTCTGGAATTTGCATCCCTCATCAGCGGTGGCTGGATACTGATTTGACAGTTGGAAACAAAACAAATATATATACTCATGTAAAAAGCATGTAGGGCTGGGGGCCCCACTGTAGGTAGGGAACAAGAATAGCCTCTCTGCCCTGCTAACAAGCATGTCGTGAAAGTCAACTAATTAAGGGTGCTGTCTTCAAATTCTTAGTGCATTTGCTTTAGAGGCAAGGAGCCAACAGCCTTTTTACGTATAAGACAGATTTGTAAAAACAGACTAAAATCCAGAAGTGGACAAACAACCAGAATCATCCACTGGAATTATACTGTGCACACATTAAATGGTGGCACTGCTGGTGTATATTGTGAAAGTATTTGAAGGGTCAGGAAATACAAACTATTTGCTCATTATTATTATAACCATCTCTTTTTGTTGTACCATTATATGTCACATAGGGCTCGTAATCCATTCCATCCTGTGCAACCCTTCAAAAATCATGGATGGAATCCAGTCCAGCAGCTTTGACTTTTCTCATCAACATTCATGTTAGGATTTCCTTTAGACCTCTCTGTTTCCTTAATATCTATTTCCTATTCCAGTACCTGTTTGGTGATTCTCTGCTCCCTTCTTCTCAGGATGTGTTCAATATAGCAGCACCTTCTGTCTTATAAATGTGGATACCAATGGTTACCCAGGCATTACTCTTATTTCTTCACCCTTTTGAATCATCCCATTTCATTTGCATCATTTTCCCCGAGGCATTTGTTTTCCGAATGCATTTACCTTTTGTTCCACGTCTTTAGTGGTTTGCCAACTTTCACTGGTAAAATCTAAAACACTTAACTTGGTTTTAAAGCTATACAATTCAGAGTTCATTATTTTATTTCAGATCTTTCAAATGTACATCAAAATTTTCATTTTTGTGTTTCATTGACTTTGAAAACTGCCTAAACAGGTAAACTGATCTGTAACTTTAACTCTTTGAGTCCCAGAGGGTTTAGCATCACAGGCCGAGAAGGGTAGTAAAGAAAGTAATAAAATTGGCGCATCATGCGTTCATTGGGCTTCTAGGTAGGAACTTATGAACATATGATGAGTTCCTTGGGACTCAAAGAGTTAATTATTTTTTTCTTCTAGTGTTACATCAGCCTGGTCACATACACGTGTCTTTAGCTGAGTTGAGTTGAGTCAAGAATTGACATCACATCACTCAGGGCATTCCCATGCATGCTTCATATACATGTCTTCAATTTTCCCATAACTTACTTGTAGTCCAACTTTTGATGCCACATTTGCTCAATCATGCTTTTCTTTGTCACTGCTGTTCTTAATTAGCCAAACAATATCATCTGCAAAATCTTCCAACTGTGTGTTCTCCACACAGTTTCACATGCCCATGCTCAGGTTAAGAACTGTTTATCTTAGTTCTAGTAGATATAAATTCTTTGCCTGACCAGGGACTACACCTATGTATGTATGGAAAATACCTATGTGTACACGCATGGTTGTACGTGTGTGTGTACATACATATTGTGTGTGTGTGTGTGTGGTGTGTGTGTGTGTGTGGTGTGTGTGTATGTATAAATTATATATAAGCACAGTGTTTAGCATGATGGAAAGGTGGCCATGCTTTAAAAACACTGAGGTGATTAAAGAAACTGACTTAACCCCCCCTGCGACTCAGCCTATAAATGGACAGCAGAAAGTGTTCTGTTAAGACAGCTGGCATAAAGGTGACCATATATTCGACTGAGTGCTGAATGATTTATAGATTTCTACAACTAGCCTGTTGCAAGATGTGGCTTCAAGTAGACAATGATGCCTTGAATGATGTGCCACCATTTCTGACCCTTTGATTGTCCCCTCTTTGCTACATCAAGAGTGACATCATTTTCATCAGAGATGACATAGAGAGATATACCTATGTGTATATGGGTGCTGTTTGGGAAATTCCCAGCTTGTCTAGTCTGCAATTTCCTGGTATGTCAGAGCCCATCGTTTTCACTTATAGAACTGCTACCAGCAACTTGGGGGCAAAACACTGGCTACAAATTAAGATCATGTGGTATAACGGATTATCGTCATTCACTTCCAGTCGCAAGCAGAGAGATGACAGTGCAGTTTAGCAGGACAACTTTGACTCTGTATTTCAAGAGCACATAAACCTAGCAGTATGACCAAACGCATCATATAGTCTTACATCTATATCCAACTGCTGAAAAGCCAAGATTCCTTGTTCCTTGTGGCAGGACGAACTCCCAGAACACTGCCAGGCTGGTCTTAGGTGATGACTGAGGTGCCCTGAGGACGGTCTTGGTGACCGGTACAGTTCCAACATTCAACATCAATTTTGGATAAAGATCCTCAGAAAAAACCCCAGGTTGTAATTGTGTCCCATAAAATTCTCATTAACTCTCTTATGTCTTAAAGCATAAGGCAATCCCAATCAGCTTGAACCGATAAAAAAAAAAAGTAACACTGTCCCCCTGTGGGACTCAATTTTTAGTTATTTTGAAGCCCCACCCTGGCTTTTGCCGGGGGCCTTAAATATAGTCGGGCCTTAAATGTGGCCTAATGGTTGAAAGGGATTTCCGGGACCTATCCACTGGTGATCCTCATCTGCATGGTGGCACCTTGTGTCACCGGGTGTATATTGCTTGTGTGATGGGGTACAACATACCTACCTACCTACCCAATCAGCACAAAGAGACATCTCATACAAAGCATATTCATTCCCATCCTATGCTACCAGTGCCAAATGTGATCGCTCACAACAAAACATAAAAGAAAATTACTAACCATGGAAATGAGTTGTCTCAGAAAGTGTTGGGAGTGACCAGAAGAGATAAAATTAGGAATGAGGTCATACGAGATAAAGTTGGCACAGAACCAATTGTAAATTACATACAAAGACAGCAAATCAAATGGTTTGCCCATTTGGAGAGAATGCCTTCTCATGCTGTACCATACAAGGCATATACCAAAAGTGGAGAGGGACACAGAGTAAGAGGTAGACCAAGAATAACATGGGAAGATAACATCAAAGAAACTCTACAGTACCAGTCAAAGAAGCCAGAAGAGCATGAGGCAGGACCTTGTATCTCCCTCGACACCTGAAGTGGTAAAAGAGGACATAAAGAAGAACTCTCTCATGATGACAGTTTCATGTTAAAATAATTTTACCATCATCATCATCATCTATTTAGTTTGATCAATGTAGAGAAAACAAAATAGATGATATAATTTCTTTAATAAGTGTGTAAGTGTGCTCTTGGCAGCTAAATTTACCTTAGCCATTTTTGGGGATGTCCAAGTGGCTCACTTTCTTTCACAAACCAATTCGAGTGTTTATGAATATCAAGGGACACTGTCTGCTCTTAGCATCAAAAGACAGCTGTCTCATTTTCTCACTTGCATCAGGAGGGAGGATTTAAACCTGCACCTCCACCATAGTAAGTGAAGGAACCTGTTCCACAACAGGGCTGGAAGTCTAATATAACTCTAATAAATCAGATATATGAACATGTCAACGAAAACATGTATACACACCTGGAAATAACAGATCTCTGCTTCAATGGCAAACGAGAAGGTGGCATCAGCAACTTGTCATCCCCATCACTGACAGGTGATTTCCCTTCGGTGGCATCCCCAACACTCTCAGTGCTGCCAGCATTAGCCCCAACATTGAGCGGAGGCACGTCAGCCCTGAACTCTGATATCTTGAGTAATGTGACCGCAAATGACGGCATCACTGTGCCAGGAGATAAGGTTACAATTTCCTTTGTTTCATTTGCAACTTCTTTTAATGGAAGCAGCGATGAAGGCTCACTCCCTCCTGCATACAAGAGGTCTTGTGCTGTTGCTGTCTTTCTTCTTGCCTGAACAAATGAAATATAAAAGTATTGTGTGATCTTGCAAATTTTCGTTTTCACCAGTACACATAAAAAAAAGACATAAAAGATCTTGTGTTATATCCATTACTTTTCTCACCAAAAAAAAAAAAAAAAAAAAAAAAAAAATATTGAAAAAAAAGGTCTTATGAAGAGTGAAAGAATTAAAAGTTTTGTTAATCTTGGTAATCTTAGTCTCAGCTTCATAGCAAACGAGTCACCCCATAGTTGCTCCCCTCCTGTGCCAAAGAAAAACACACAGAATGTTCATCGCAGTCCCTTGTGGAAAGATTGACAGACTGCTGTCTCAGCATATGCACTAGCATACACAGGCATTAAAAGCATAGGTAGCCATCAGAAGTGCTATCACAAACAATTTGACATTAAAAATGCAGTTCATCAACGACGGTAGCAGAAGTCACCAACAGATCAGCAGTTGTGCACGCGATCAATATTAATCACATAAGGGCACCACTAATATTGCGGCGACAGTCAATGGGCCATTTTCTGAATCTACAGTTCACAACACCACGTTGATCACAGTCAAAAAACATTCCAAATGAAATCCGCAGCTCACAGGGTCGCGCAATGCACTTAACTCAGTAGCTAGCGCGACGAAACTGTATCGTTTCAGTCTACAAATGGGTCAAAAATGCAACGGCCACCGTCTGGCAGAAGCGAAAAATTTGCCTCAACGTGAAACAGTAACTGCGCCTGGCGTCCATTTTGACCGGAAGTTTGAAAAGTTTGAGGGGTTCAGTGATAAAGTGTTGACAGTACAAGGGTGCAAGATAGAGATTCTAAACTTTAAAACACGAATGATACTTCTGTATTTTATTCTTCTTTTTAGCGTTCTGTAAACTCTAGCGAAAAGCTCTTGTTATCTGTTCACCCCTGGACTTTGGTCTTGACTCAGATATGAGTTTTGTATGTTTACAAATCTAGCTTAATTGTATGCAGACTGTTGGTTTCTTTACCTCTCAGGCAGATGTACTCCAACTCTGAAGGAAAACCCAAATGTTGCCTCCTACGACATGCTTGTTGAGGGGTGGGGTAGGCAATGGGTCAATTTTTGTTCTCCAAAATGGAGCCCCGGAACCTGGACACAGATGATGTATTTTTATTGAGACTGGAAAATATAACCCTTCTCAGCATGCAAATAAGATTATAAAACATAATATTTTATGCTGCCACGTCACAAATTATACTTTGTTTTGTAAAAATACATGAACACCAGTGAGAGTGAAATCATATCATATGATAATGGCAAAGATGACATACCTTCTCTCTACGGGTGAGTTTTTCCCTAGGCGACACAACTGGCAGTACACATGACTCCATCATGCTGTCAAAACAAGGAGTGGTCACATTAACAGTGATATTTTAGCCGTAAACAATTCTTTAATTCACTGATTACCATATGCTAACGACAATTAAAATATTTGTCCTGCAAGAAATATATTTGGTGTCAGACCAAACACTTAATTCAACAGAAAACTTTAGCTGCAAAGTCCAATCAGGTAACTGCAGTTCCGACTTCATCGCAAACAAGTCACCCCATAGATGCTCCGTTCCTGTGCCAGTAAAAACTACACAGAATGTCCATCACTATCCCTTGTGAAAAACTTGTTACAGACTGCAGTCTTAGCAAATCCAACAGCATAGAAGCTCATTAAATTGTATAAGGCAGCAGTCAGAAGTGCCAAAACAAATAGTCTGACATGAGAAATGCAGTTCATCATTCATGGAAGCAGCAGTTACAACAGATCAGTAGTTGCACACACAATTAATCACAAATTTCAATCAACCATGCGTAGGTCTACATACATCATTGCAGGAGTTGGTTAAGGGTCTAAGTTCCACTGAAGATAAAATGCAGAAGATAAAGCAGTATTCCTCACCAGGACAGAAAGAAGTAAAGGATAAGCTGTCAACAGAAGTGATATATCGAACTAAAGGATAAGCTGTCAACAGAAGACATATCTCAAACTACAGAATAAGCTGTCAACAGAAGACATATCTCAAACTACAGGATAAGCTGTCAACAGAAGACATATCTCGAACTACAGGATAAGCTGTCAACAGAAGACATATCTCAAACTAAAGGATAAGCTGTCAACAGAAGACATATCTCGAACTAAAGGATAAACTGTCAACAGAAGACATATCTCGAACTAAAAGATAAGTTGTCAACAGAAGACATATCTCGAACTAAAAGTTAAGTTGCCAACAGAAGACATATCTCGAACTAAAGGATAATCTCTCAACAGAAGACATATCTCGAACTAAAAGATAAGTTGTCAACAGAAGACATATTTCGAACTAAAAGATAAGTAGTCAACAGAAGAGATATCTCGAACCAAAGGATAAGGTGTCAACAGAAGACATGTCTCGAACTAAAGGATAAACTGCCAACAGAAGACATGTCTCGAACTAAAAGTTAAGTTGTCAACAGAAGACATATCTCGAACTAAAAGTTAAGTTGTCAACAGAAGACATATAGCGAACTAAAGGATAAACTGTCAACAGAAGAGATATCTCGAACTAAAAGATAAGTTGTCAACAGACGACATATCTCGAACTAAAGGATAATCTCTCAACAGAAGACATATCTCGAACTAAAGGATAAGTTGTTAACAGAAGACAATATCTCGAACTAAAGGATAAGTTGTCAACAGAAGACAATATCTCGAACTAAAGGATAAGTTGTAAACAGAAGACATATCTCGATCTAAAGGATAAGCTGTCAACAGAAGACATATCTCATTACAGCTGATTACCACAGCTTAGTGACTCTCATTACATATGTACTGGGGAATTCTGGTGGATGGAAATCACAATAAGATAAACTAAATGTTAACTAGATATGAAAAAATCAGTGTCCTCTCTCTCTCTCTTCCCCTCCCTCCATGTGTGTGTGTGTGTATGTCTCTTTCTCTCTCTTTCTCTCTCTGCTTGCAGTTATCCAACCAAAAGCATATCTTTATTCAGTAGAGTATTTTATGAGGGATTCAAGTGGAAACAAATATGAGATTCTTTTGTCTAGAACATAATTTTATGTCTTCCCACTCTGAAATTGTAATAAGGTATGGTGTGCATGTGTGAGTGTATGGAAGGATGGGAGGCAGGGGCACAGAAGTAGAGACAGAAAGCTCAATGCAGAGGAGAGGAACTATCTACTGACTGAACAGATCTCAGTTCATGACATTCACAACACTAGATTTCACAGGCTACAGTCATGGACTATTATGTTTTATGAAAGCATACATAATATTTGTTCACCGATGTAAACAATGTCGTAGTCTTTGAAAACAATATGCCTTAAAAATGTGAGAAAAATTGCAGTGCCTATGTACACTAACGCTGAGCTATGCTTTGTAATATGTGTATAACTGCGAAGAATAAATAAAAATATACAAAACCAATTTTTCAGCTAACAAACATGCACATATTTAGTTCTGAACACAATACAATAGGTATGCCATATGACACTGCTCATCCATATTCTCATACTGGATGACTTCTTTTCCCTAAGTTAACATGAAAAGATATCAACTCAAATGAAAAGTAGAACCAGTCCATTTCAGATTATCACAAACACAAATGACGAAGGAACCCTATGACTAGACAGCCCTCACCAGCACATTATGTAAATCTACAAAACAAACAAGAACACTTAACTGATGTATTTCTGATTAAATCACATTGCTGTCTGGGCAGTTCAATGAGTGAGACGTGTGTGGCCACTAAAAACATACTGCTGAGAAGCCAAGGGCCTTAACTCAAAGATATTAGATAAAAAACTGTGTTGAATGTTCAGTCCTCTATGTGAAACGGCGCCCATGAGATGGAAAAAGTGGTTCTAAAGAGACTTATGAACTCTGTCATTGAAGTGGCTAGATTTGATGGTCGTGACCTCCGTATCAAGGACACCTTGGTGATCCTTAGGACTAAAGTGCAACTGTCTGGTTCTATGGCACCATTTTGCACATCCAAGGGTGTTGCCTGAACCTGTCAGCTAGTCATAGTCCAGATTCACCAATTTATTTCATACCACAACTTTGGCAGATAGGGTGTAAATAACACTGCGGCTCATGCAACAGAATGCTTCATGTGTGTGGACAGGAGCATTAAAGAAATCCAGACTATCTGCGCATTTTAACAAGAGTCTTGCATAAAGTCTATAGCGAGAAGCTGTGTCTAAGTATAGGTGGGGGTTATATATTTAAAAAAAAAAAAAACTTGTACTTTTGTATCTTTTCTAACAATTTGAAAGAAAAAAAAAATTTCTAGAAGACAATCATGCTTACTATTTATAACAATTCATGCATGTTATAAAAATCACAAACAAACCAGTCTAATTTAAGACTGTTCGCAGAAGATAGCACAAGCAGCCTTAAAACATTCACAGATCTGTCCACACATGTGTTAATGTGAGTAATGGACTGTGTCATGGAAATGTTATAAGAGAATATATAAGATATTAGCGTCTTGAAAGAACAACACAGCTTATGTACATACTTTTTTTTTAGAGTTCACCAGCTATAAACTGTGGCAGAAAATTGTGGTTGTTTGTCCATGTTTCAAATTCTGGACTTTGGTCTTGTTCCCAGAACTTGACTTTTGTGTGCACATCCACTTTACAGATCAGGCTTATTTGTATGCTATCTGTTGGTTCTTTGCCCTTGTCAGGCAGATACACACTGGTGTCAAAGGAAACATCCCTAATTAGCCGCATATTTGTTGGGTGAAAGATTGAACAGCCTTAAAAGTCTAAGGTTAAGCACCAACAAGAAGATTGTCAGAGGCCAGTTCGACTATGGGACGGACAGAGCTGATGATAGTGAATCATCACGTATGAACGAGTTGACCTTCAGTAAAACTCAGTATGAGAGCGGGCAGCTTGACCACGGAATAAACTGGGTCCAGTTAACGGGCCAAGCCCAGTTCACACAGGTGACACGGATTACTGCGTGTCGAGCCGTGAACTCAGGCTCCGGAACAAAAAGCTTTGTCCGAGCTGGTTGAGGGAGAGTTGTGTACTGGGACTGGACGAGACAAGACGTAGTGCTCGACTAGGTAAAATTACATTAGGTTAGTGACGGTTAGTTGAATAGGATCTTTGTGTTTAGTAACTTTGTTAGGTTGTGTTTCCATTTAATGTTTCGACTAGATAGTGTAGAGTTAATGTTCCTTGTATAGTAGACATTCCATGCAGTATTTGTTTGAGCAGTTAGTAAAGGTGTGACGCGCATTGTAATGGCGGTAACAATGCCCAGTAACGCTTAGGCCATACACCTTACGTGTGTCGCTGAGTCCCATGTGGCAATAGACGGCGGCTTAGTTAGCACTGATAAACTGTCAGCTAGGAGTCGTGTTCCTTGTAGATCCATGGGGACCGGCTTGGGTTGATCAGTGATTGTAAAGCTGTTCAACGTTGAGGCGTCTACATTCTTTTGTTCATTGTACATTAAAGATTATGTTTGTACTCAGCAGGAGTATGTCTTAAGTGTGTCTAGGTAGTTAAGTCTGTTAGCTGGCCTACTTAGCGAGCCATATTAAATGAATAAAGTAGGTCCCTGACAGAGATAAAAATTAGAATTTTGAGAGCATGTATCGTCCCTGTGGCTACATACGGATGTGAGTCGTGGACTATCTCTCATTCCTTAAGAAAGAGAATAGGGGCTTTTGAGCTGAAATGCTATAGAAAGATTCTGAGAATATCTTGGACAAAGAAGATGAGAATTATTGACATCTTAAAAGATCTGAACATCGAGGAAGATTGGCTAATAAACAGCATCCTTTCTCGAAAGCTGAAATATTCTGGTCATATCAAGCGCCACTATGGATTGGAAATTTTTTTAGCAGAAGGCATGGTACCAGGAAGGAGGGGCAGGGGCCGACCAATACGAAGATGGGCACAGGATATAAGTGACTCCTTGAGTGTGAAAGTGCATGAGAACTGGCGAGAGACTGAGTTTCTTTCAGGCAGACCGTGATGAGAGCGACGTTCTGCAAAGGACCTGCTACATGATGATGATTTGTTGGTTGGGGGGTGGACAGTGGGTCTATTATTCCACCCCCCCCCCCCCAATGGGGCCAGTAACCCAAGGGAGGATGATGTACCATATCTTCTCTCAAAAAAAAAAAATGCCAAAGCATGTGTGGTGTTTCTATGCACGTAGCCTAGTCAGACTAAAATCAACACAGTGCACATATTGAGCTGTTTTGTTATTCTTGAGAAGTTATTTTAGAAATATTAATCTTGTTTCAAAATCAATATGGTAATACTGCAATAAGAAAATGGAAGGATTTTGAGTGAGTCAAGTATTGCAGAGAAAACTGTACTAATGATGATGCACTCAGTAGACAACAATCTATTTAGCTAGATAAACAAAGCACTGACTTGTTTCATGCAAATGTACCTCATAAATCTAAATAATAATAAAAAAAGTGACTGTTCTGGTATATCTCTCATATTGTCCCAACTTGGTACTGTGTTCTCTTGTTCTCTCACCTCAAATCAACATTGAAAGGGCAACGATTCAATGATGCTAAAGAAGTTATCACTTTTACAGCAAAGCATTTGTGAAAGCTTTAAAAGAATGGCTTCCCCTAATGTCTTAAAATGACTACTGTTTCTGATGTGTATGAAATAATTAACTAATGGTATATTTTTGAAGATTCATAATCTAATTAGGGTCAGTGAAATAGAAAAGACCAGAAGATGCTCAAAAGTTTAGCAACTTGTTGCACAACTCTCAAATTTACACATGAAAACCAAGCAGTAAAACATTTATTCCTCTAAAAATGACATGGAAACCACAAGTTTGAGACAGTTGTGAAAAAAAAGGGAAAAAAAACAACACCAAACACTCAAAGAATTGAAGTATAGCACCACAAGGTATATTCTTCTTCATCCGCCTGTTTTTCTTCTTCTTCAGCATTTTAAGTTCTTGAAGTTTGCTGATGCTGATACCATCCATCCCATTCATCTCTGTGATTGACTTCTTTTCCCTTAGTGACCCCAGACATTTATATATCATCTCTTTATCACATTCTTCATCTGCCCTGTGGTCTACTCCCATTAAATCTTTTTCTGTATTTGACTGATGGATATTTCCATCAGTTTGTCCCCTCCAGGCTCCAACCAGATTTACCATACCAACCTAAGATGAACAAATCTCAATCTGGATGGCAGACCAACAAGGCAGATCCCAGATACTCCATTCAACCTCCTTAAAAGCTATAATTAAGGCACCCTTAACAGCTACACCAGCACTGTTACCTGCAGTCCTCTAAGGGTAAGGATGTTTTGTACATGCAGTTTTTCGGGGCTCAGATTTCCCTCTCCTTTCAACATATCCACCAGTTTCACGCGGTTAATAGTGCCAGTCCTATGCTGTACATCTGGTGTGCCTCTCTTGCTTGGCTATGCCAATCTTAACTTACAATTGTCATATTAATGTTAGCAGTGGTGTGGACAGTCTTTTAAAACAAAAGTTTCAGGACTCACTCATGGCTGACATCTAATATGTCAAGTCACTAAATAGTATATCTGAAGCAGAAGCGAACACAAAATCACAGCCACAGCAAATGAACAAAAGTCACTACTCATAAGGCTGAAAGAACTGAACAAACAATTTGAACAGAAAGAACATTAGTTTTGACCATTAAAAAGGCATAGCAAATACACACAAACACATGAAGATAAAATACCACCGTCAAATCCAAGGTGGGATAGTAAATAGAAAATGAAATTGGAAAATGTTATTTTTAGTTCTGTGAAGGAAACAGTACACAGAGGGAGAATAAGAAATGGATACCTTTTGACTTGAATCATCTTGAGTATGTCATTAACAATGAATGCACTCTCTTTAAACCTGGTCACTGTTGTCAAGATTCTGCTTTGTTATAAACAACAGCAGCAGCCTGTCAAGTGGCCAGAACATTGGGCTCAAACTTTGGTGAGGTGAAAGTAGTTTGTTTCTACTGGAGCCAAGAATAATCAACCTAACCAGCACATTCCAGGGCAACTGTACTTCCCATGTGGCCATAAATCTGCAGGCTCAAGATCTTCCCCGACCTAGATCATTCTAAAAAGTAGTAAATACAGGCAGCATAGATATCTCTTTTTCTTTTTTAACAAACAACATATAAAGTGACAGAAAACAGTTCTGTCACATTTAGAGACAATTATCAGTGACTTTTGTTGACTTGCTTACCATCTATCACAGAATTCTAAACACACATCTGGAGTATTAGCAAGCTTAGCATACTCAAGCACTGGTGTAATGGCAAAATGGTTCCTTGGATAACATATTTTAGAATTTAAAAAGCTGACTACAATGTGTCATCAAAAGCAAACACTGCATCATTTTCACTACAGACAAAATAAAATTACAAGGAAATAAATGTTATATAAATGATTCTTTACAATAGTATGTAGTAGGAAAAGTACCTTCATTATTCAATTCTGTCATACAAGCCCAACTGAATACAATTGTTAACTATCTGGGTCTAAAGTAGTTGTTACTCTAGCCCTCATAATCCAAGGAGTTGAGTCTAAAGCAAAATATACTTGGGTCTAGAAAAGTCCAAAAGAGATACTATGGAGCCAATATGTTTAGTAATTCCTAAACAAAGGGTTAATATATCTGTGAAGCAAGAATACTATATTATCTTCAAGCGATCAAGGAATGCAAGGTGATTTATCTGATATTGACAAAGTTAAAATCTGCAAGTATTATGCTATATAATATGTATGGTTTGTGCTATGAAAAGAATATCAAACTAGGCTTTCTTACAAATTTTTTTTTCTTCAAAACATAATCTCACAGATTTGCCTCCTCTACTGTTTCCTCTACTGTTGAAACAGACAAGTGAAACACTGACAACAAGAAAAGACAGCAATGTCAGCTACTAATATATCACAGTAAACACAGAGAAGTGTATTCTTTACCTTTCAGCAGGTGATGACGAAGCTGAGCTTGAAGATGACTCCATATCTAGTGAGTATATATATAAGAATTATCTGTTAAAATATGCAATACTGTACATTAGTAGAAAGCAGTTATGAGTTATGTTTTCATTACGGCACTCAGGACATGTCCATAGGTGCTCACATTCCCCCTTCAACATATACATCAGAGTCCTGCAGTTAATAGTGCCAGTCCTATGTTGGTTAACAAGACTTCTTGAATGTACGTATGCCCCTTATGCTTGGCTGTGCCAATCTTTACTCCTAATTCTTGCATTCTTAGCAATGATGTGGACAGGCTGCTCACAAAAACCTCTAATCATCCTCTCTCTCCAAAGGCATTAACAATGTTGGTATGATCCATAGGTCGGCCATCTGCAACTAAGGCAAAAACAGCCAATCTGTCAGCTCTTTCCTTGCCAATAACACCCGCATACCCTGGGACACAGATAAAAGTAACTCCTCACAGTGTGAAGTTTCTCATGACTGAATCCACTGTCTGCATACAGGCCTGCCTCACCCTGCCGGACCATGCTCACATAATCATTCAGCATAGGCACATGGGAATAGTCCTGTAATTACAGCCACGTGAAAGCTTGTGTCACTGCCATCATCAAGCAAATAGTTAGGCTTCTGGTGACCATTAGCTGTAATAGGCTACTGGTGATTACTAACAGTACAAGGCTCCTAATGCTAACTAGCTGTACGTATTATAAACCCTAAAACTGAAGAGAGTTTTTAGATCAAGGTGCCGGGCATGAATGATGTAGCAAAGAGTTAAAAAAAAGACCTGTTATGAGCAAACAGGAGTAAAGTGCAAAGGATTCTTTTCACACCAGTGCTGCATAGGTCGTATGAGGCTACTCCTGCTGTTATGGACTAGTCAGCACTCAATCAGGACATTACCTGCTTACCAATGTTAGGCTTGGTCAACCTGGGTGCCAAGGTCACTTTTGAAAGAAATCTGTCTAGATTTGACTCAAATTCAAGAGCATCTAGCCACTATGCTATAAATGCTCCAGAATGCAGAACAGAGATTAGATATTATTATTATTATTTTTTTAATTAGAACTACCATCGTCAAAGCAATGGAAATGCCAACAATGAACATCTAAGTAAATGAACAGATACAAAAACAGCTAAAAAGCTTGTCCTATCTTGGACACATATGAGATGATGGTAGGGTCAATGGATGTTGTCTAAAGCACAAATTGACAGTCTGAGTCAGCAAAAAATAAGTCCGTAAGTGAAACCTTCAGGTAGCAGCCTCGAGAATAAAAAAAGGGAAGGAAGAAAGTAGAAGATCCACCCCCCCCCCCCCCCCCCCCCCGAAATTAAAAAAGAAAAGAAAAAAAGAAAAACTTCTGTGCAACAACACTACAGCTAACTATTATTATTACAAATGACTAACCATCTGGATCATTAAGAGTCATAAGGTCATCCACTTCAATGTTGACATTGTCATCCATCATATGTCGCAGGAGGTCTTGCTGGAGGGCATTGTTCAGTTCTGTCTGGTGCAGTCTGCCCTGAAGCTCTTTCATCTCTGATTCTTTCTGAACTATAGAAAATCCCTATGGATTTCAGAACATAGAAACATATGTTAATGCTATGTGCCCAAAGAATGTGGATAGTCAGTCCCTAGTTAGAAAAACCACCTCAATTTGTGAAATGGTTTCTTTAAGACGTCTTCATTAGTCAAAATGTTATGACTCTTAAACAAAAATATAGAAAATAGAAAATTATTCACATTTTTATTATTATTCTGCTTTCCTTCAAAGTCTGAGTGCATCTGCCTGAGAGGCCAGGAGCCAACAGTCTGCACACAAACAAAACGGATGTGCACTTAAGTTCACAAACAAGATTAAAGTCCAGGAATGGATGAGCAACCAGAACTTTCCGCTGGGAAACTGGCCCCAACTAAAATGTCGGTTTCGCTGCTTCTCTGGGCGACAGGGTTAACATACAGATGAATGATTTCAATTAAAAAAGTAAAATATTCTATGGTATCTCCTCAAAGATGGTTGGCTGTGGTGCACATACTGCTGTCTTAGAGAATATTACATAATGAGGCCCTAATCTCTTCCATGGTACGACTCGCGTACTACTGTCCCCAAAATAATAATAAAATATTTTTTTTTTAATAAACTGTTCCTCGCAGAAATGACTCTACTACTTGAGTATCATAACATTGAAAAATGCAGTCAGTAACCTCTAGGCCACAGAGTTGTAGATTTGAATAACTGTTACTCTAATTGTACACTAATAACAGTTGGAGAATAATATTTGTGTACATAAAACATAGGAGGAACTGAGGTTATGCAAGAGCAAGCATGCCTGTCAGTTGAGCTGGTAGCGTTAACACATTTGTATACCAGGGTGTAGAGCAAATTTTAACTTACACTGTCAAGTTCTTTCTGATAAAACTTCTCAATGATATACTTTGATTCTTCTAAAGTGATGGCTTCAAGGAGGGAATTTATCTCCACACTGCCATCTCTATCTTCCTGAGAAAACATTAGCAAATACACTGTTAGCCATAAAAAATGTTTTATTGTCCTTGAATGAGTGAATGAATGAATCAATCAGGAACTGACGACACTACACTTGGGAAGTTCCCGCATGTGCACAGTCCCCTTCTTCAGTAGCCAAGAAAGAGTCAACATGCCTACGTTTCCCCCTCTAAGTTGAATATTTTCCAGAACCTCCACTCAAACACCCCCCCCCCCCCAAATTAGTCTTTTAATGTATAGATGCTTAATGAATAAGTTGTGTCTTCAATTTATTAGATTTATTAGATACTTAGAGGTACAATTAAGTATTCACACAGAATAGAATGCTGACATCTACCCACAAACAGTACTGCTGCTCACAGACAGCAAAGACAGTTATCCACATTCAGCAATGATAGTTATTCACACAGAATGCTGATAAACACTCACAAGTATTGACAATCACCTACAGACAACTAGCCACAATGAACACAAACAACAGCCACTGCCCAGTGAAAGTACTTATCCCAAGTTGTATACTGTATAAATATTTTTAAATAAACAATAAATGTTATAAAAGAATTTATAAAATGCTCTTCTTCTTCAAAAGCCTTTCAAGTTTGCAATGAGAACATTTCCCATAAACCCTCATTTTCTAGTGCGGCTTATAAATCTGGATGCTGATTTATAACATTATACTGGTAAGATATAAATTCAATGATGAATAGAAATTACAGAAAAACCAATATGCTGTAATTTCATTGTGTCTTGTTGGATAATGATGAGTAATGGCAAGAGATGAGGTCGATGCAACTTGTAATTCTTCCTCACTTAAACTTCAGTTATAGCACAAGTCATTCTCATCCTTTCCTGTAGTGTAATCCCTTTCTCATCCCTTGATTCAACAGACCTCATCATTATTGATTAGATAAAACCTTTTAATTTCTTTGATTTTACACAGGCACCAGTTAATGAAGACATGTGATACAGCCAAGCTATTTTTACTTTCCGAAACCTGAAACAATTTATAAACTGATTTTATTCAATGTTCAGATATTGCAAGAGATATAACACCACTAGGGTGCAAAATATACACACCTTAGATTCTTCTATTTGCATAATGTTTGACTGACATTCATTGATGTTTTCTTGTGCATGTCCCACCTTCAGTGCCAGATCCTCTATTGTTCTGTCCAACCTGTGTACAGCTTCTTCCGACTGGAGATAGCAAATAAAACAAAAGTCATACATACATCCTTTAATGTTGTTTCAGAAGCAGCTTTTTCTTAGAAGCTTTAGCTTTCCAAAAATTCAGCAACAATGACGACCATAACAAAAACAAACTAGCAGAAAAACAATGCACTTTTCTAGAACTTGTTAATAAAACTACCTGACAATAAGACAGATATATAAATTTTGTTGAACCAATGATAATCATTAGTTGTTTTTATCATCATCATTTAAGACTTTCCTGCACTGCAGGCTAGTATTAATGAGGCTACAACACTTTCTGCTCTCTTCATGATGTAATCATGCATCGGACTGAGCAGATTTATGTAATAAATGTATGAGATAAAAGGAGTGAGAACAATTATATAATTCATGGAGTTAAACTGTCATAATACCGGCATATATCACATTTTAGGGCAGTTGCAGGATAGGGGGTTGGTTCTTCAGCCTGAGAATTAAGGGGCACATGCCTGGTGTCGTCACCACTGACACTGCACAGGTTAAGATGTTTATTTTTCTTGTGTGGGTTCCTGGACCCCCCCCCCCCCCCCCCCCACCTCCAAAAAAGCAAAACGCATGTAGTAAAAGACGACTAATTAAATGTGTTTCTTTCTAAGTTGAACTGCATCTGCTGAGGGACGAGGATCTAGCAGTCTGTATAAAAAAAAGTCAGATCTGTAAAACCCAGGTTCTAGAACAAGACCAATGCCCAGAAGTGGATGGATGACCAACCAGAACTTTGTGCTAGAATGTACAGCCAGTGAAGACTAAGAAGAAGAAGATGTTAATTTTTGTTCCTGACAGAAAAAACCTCCATCAAGGATTGAATCCAGGTATCTGACATGACACCCCAGCATTCTAACAGTTCAACCAGCCGTTCCTTATGTATGGCTTACCATGAATTCATGTGGCCTGTTTGGCCAAGAGAAAAGTTGAAAGAGGTCAAATTTATACATACAATGTTAACATTCTAATATTTACCATTCCTGAGTTCAGTGCCACTTGCTTGCGTCGTTCATACTTCTCTATCTGTTTCGTACACTTTTCACGTTGCTGTTGATTAATCAATAGAAAATAAATATATTTATCCATATAATTTTATTTACATTTTATCAGGAAACATAAACAGTAAAAAAATAACTCATAAACATGACTGTCTTTCAGAAATTAGCACTGAAGAAAACATTACAGGATGAGATCAAGCCAGTGTCACGCCAAAACTCTCTTTAGTTACATCTTAAAGCAAACAATAAAGGTTAGTGTTACTGCTGTTTCTTTTTCTAATACTGAAATAAAGTTCCCCATGTGGGTTCTGATGCCCCATATGTGTGTGTGTGTGTGTGTGTGTGTGTGGGGGGGGGGGGGGGGGAAGGGAAAGAGCCACTGCTCCCTTAAGAAGTATGTTGCAAAAGGTGACTAGACTAATAAGATGTTTTGCTGAAATTGAATGTGGCGGGCTAAATGGTGCAGATTTCGCAGCCTTACTGGAAACCACAACACAATGTGCCAACCACAGAAAAACAATAAGAACTAAGTTAGGTTTTTTAAAAATAGACAAATACAGTTTAGTGAGCAACAAAACATGGCCAGCAACAATACATGGCCCCATACATTTTGCAATGTCTAGAAATGACACACAACTAACTTTAAAGACAACTGTCGAAACCTTTCTTTGTTTTGTTAGTGTTCCCTAGAAGTGCCTTTGTATCAACTGACATATAGTCAATATACAAGGGCTATTCCAAAATCAACCTCTAAGTGGTTGGTAAAAAAGAAACCGTTTGCTACAGCAACACCGTTTATTGCTTGCATCATTCAGTAGCCCTTTAGCTTACTACACACCATCCTATAGTTGCATTTGTTCAGTGGTTCACAAACCGCATGGAAATATGAACTGCAGGTTGGTGTGTAGTGAGCTAAAAGACTACTGAATGATGCAAGCAATGAACGCTGTTACTATGGCAAATGTTTTTGTGTGTCTGTGTTTTTTCAAAGGTTTATTTTGAATAGCCCTTGCATCTCAACTGTTAGGAACTTACTTTTAACCATACATTCATATCTCGCTCCAGCATGCTGACTGTCTGCCGCTTAGATATCACAGCTATGATCTGAAACAGACAAACACAGGTACTGAATATTGCGACTATAAAAGCATATGTTTAGAACTGAACATGACATGTTACTGAAGACTGTGACCACAAATAAAACTTTACATATCTGATTAAATCTCACTGGTCCTGAGAAAAATAATACTACTGCAATATTTTAACCGTGTCCTTTTGGCACCTTTCCGACTTCCAGTGTTCCACTGTGCTAGAGGAGGGCATAGGAGTCACAGCCCATGGCAATACCAATTATGGCCAGAGATGAAGGTCCTACTTTGCATAGAACAAGGTTTGTGCTGTATTAATTACAGAGATAAGGAGTTGAATTGTTGTCTAATTTGGTAACTGACCACCGCATTTACTGCTGACTCCAAAGATGTTAATATACTTGTAATTTTTATCTGTTTCATTCAAAAAGTGCAATCCAACCAAATCCTAACAGGATCACTCTTTGTGCCCCACACAGATATTTACACCGTTTCAGACCAATACATCTGTTGTTTGAAACAAATTCCCTGGTAATAAATCATTACGTTGATTATAAAAAAATAACCAGTTATGTGGTAACATTTGTATTATACATATAATGTATACAATGGAGAAAAACTAAGAAAAAGATGATATGTAGATCTGAAATGGTCGAGTCCAAAGATTATCTGAGTTAAAAACAAAAAACTGAAATAGTGCTTGCTGCAAAGAGTCATTCGGTACTAAGAGGATGAAAGAATCATTAGCAATCAATTTTATAACATTTCAAACTAAAAATAATATAATAAAAACTAGGCAATGACAGATTTTTAAAAAAAAGACAGAAGCATAACTTTTCTTATTTCATACACCCAAGGTAACAGTTATGTCGTTTTTAATATCACTTCTTTTCAATTCATCATATAAGCTCTTACATCTTTAAATCCCTTCCTGTTTCTGTTTTTCATAAACTAAAACTATCAATGAATCCTGAAATGTAAACATAGCTTACATTCTTTTCCAAGGAATCCCACTTTTGTTTGGCAACTTTTGGAGAAAACTCAGATCTCCGTCTTTTCCTTGATGTTAATGAGACTGAAGCTGCATAAAAATCAGAAGTCAGTTATTAATGAAAATCCATCTGTAATATCATAAGACAAGCTGCTAGGTCATTTAGTAATAAGTAATAAACAATTCTTATTTCCTATCTTCTATTCCTTCTGTATGCCTCAACCAATGCAGTCTATAAACCCTCAGGCATACATTTCAGGTTGCTCAGCCACTTCCTAAGCTTGGTTGAGAACTTGAGTTTTGTGTGCACATCCACTTTACAGATCTGGCTTATTTGTATGAAGACTATTGGTTCATCTCCTCCTAGGCAGATGCACATATGACTTAGAAAGAACCATCAATCCTATCTATGATAGCCAGGCCCCCGGTTGGGAACCTGTTTCTAAGATAACAGTGGAGAGGTGTAGGCAGATTCTGACCAGTTAGTGCCTGGCCCAAGCCACAGGTGGTTCAGCACCTCTACATTCCAGTTCAGATCTAAAAAGTCCTTAACGTTCTAGGGTTGTTGTCTAAACCTATCCAATTTCAATGCTGAGATACCTGTTTTGTAACAAAGTGAGGTGTGACAAATGTAGGAGCATTCGCTCCATGCTTCAACCCCCAACCAACCTGGAGGACCAGGGTGTCTCTCTGTGACTGTTCTAAACCCTCTGACCAGTCCAGCTTGGGCTGGTGGCTTTACTACCACTGACAAAGCTCTCAGGGTCATTGAAAAACTCAGGCTTCCCCACTATGACAAGGCGGGGATACTCCCGGGAATAAAAACATGATTGATGCTGCTATTCAGTGACTTCAGCATGGAAGATTTACTGTCAGCATTGCCACAAGGACAATGATAACAATTTAATACTGTTACTTCCTGACAGATGGTAACAATATAAACTGCACAAAACTCCTCCCAGACATATTATACTGAGGTTAATGTTTTCCTCAGATAAAGCAATAAAAACAGCATCTGCATAAAGATTAGTGACTTGTAAAAGAGTAAACCCTTTTCATATTATTGGTGTATAGGGAATATGGTGCTTATATGAACCAACTGGCATTTGACAGGTGATGTGGCCAACATAAAACCAGCCACCTTTACTTCCCAGAATATTACAGGGTACCTAATTTAGGATGGAGTGACCTGGTAGCCAAGGCCATTTAATAAATAAAAAAAATAAAAAACTGGCCTTAATGTCAGCTCAAAGGCACATACTGGGGCTAGCAGCAAGCGTCTTTAGCAATCACATATGCCTCACAGAGTGACAAGTGTTCCTTGTTTCTACTTTAATTTAACTTACCAGCCACTTGATAGATGTTTTCATGAACATGAATTTTCTTGACATTCTTTTTCTTCTTCTTCGCATTCACCAGCTGTAAATTCTGGCAGAAAGTTCTGGGTGTTCATCCACCTCCGGACTTGAGTCTTGTTCCAGAACCTGAGTACTTGTGCACATCTACCCCTTAGGCAGGTGTATTCCAACTTTGAAGGATTCCCTCATTTAGTTGACTCTTATGACATGCTTTTTGGGGAGGCACTGAGTCTATTCTTGTTTTCCCCATAATGGAACTCACACTGGGATTTCTCGACCTAATATCTACTATAAAAAAGACCACCATCTAGAATCATTTTTGAACTTTCTTACAAAGATGGAGACAGGTTTGCTCTGTGAAGAGTAGCAAGCATTGCTTCATAAGGGTAAACTTCACAACCAGTGGTATACCTGACAAATGCAAAAGCAGTAAGTACTTCAGGTACTCCAGTCTGGAAAATTACCAGGTATACAGACACTACTATCTGAACCAGGTAACCGGTGTAAGGTAGTTATGCAATAGATAGTAATACCACTGTAGAGTTCCCTGAAATGATAAACTAGCTAAGGAAGGTGCAATAGAAAAACAACTCGACATACCAGTGTCTTATCAAATTAAGAAGAGAATAATCAAATCAGTCAAAAAGCCACTGAAACTTGCACAAGACGATTACCATATTATGGACAGACCAGAGCAAGTCATTATCCTACGTCTTTGAACAGGACACAATCAACTTTGTAGCTAGATGTACACACAATTTGAGATTGGCGAATCAGCCATGTGGATTAGCACCTGAAGGCTCTTCAGGATAAAACATTTCCAGACAAAACACCTGGTCAAGAGAGTCACTGGTGGAAGCCAAACTTTATTAGCGGCTAAGTGAATTACAAAAGACAGTGAAGATCATACTAGAGACAGCATTGCATATACAGATAATTTATTTCAAGTGAACAAAAGAAGAAGAAAAAAAGAAGAAAGAAGAAGGGTAGTTAGCATCTCATGGAGATTTCCTCCAGGGTATAAAGGTGTGTTGCTAGATGAACAGGCAGGCAGAACTGGCTGGTTCTGCACAATTTGGTGGTAAATGGATGCATGATAAGCTAGATATTTTTATGGCCCTTTGAGAGCAAGTGAACAGTGTGGAGGCACAGACAGATCACGATGGCCTGAACAGCATGGAGTGACTAGAGGATGAATACTCAGAGGATAGGCAAGATAGAGACTGGCAAACAACAATCAGACTGCTACTGGTACTATCAGAACTAGAAATCTGTACTGACTGCTAAAGATGGGGACAGAGCCCTTAGGAGAAGGCCCTGAGTGCTGTAATGTGTGTGTGTGTTTTTTTTTTTTTAAACTCCACATTCTTACAAACCTGAGATAGTTCCTGTGCTGTATTCTAAAATCACAGGTCAGATACTCTTCATTCCTTACCTATTGGTACTGTTGTTGGTCGATCATATTTCCCCACTCTGCCAGCGGCCTTGCTAGACAATGGTTTTTGCCTTTTCCTCAAAGCTTCAACCTGCAGCACAAAACACACATTTTATGTAAAGCAGTTTATGGTTGCTAATTATGTTATCAAAGCCAAGAGGAACTGACCTCTGTGTGTGCATGATGGTGAACATCATCATCATTATGTGCCCTGCCAACTAGCACAGACGTTCATGTATCTCCACAGATCACGATCCCTGGTTGCCTGAAACAGCTCTATTGATTACATCCCTCCCTGCTATCGTTTCAGCCCATCCAGCATCAGATCTCTTGGTCTGCCTCTACCCCTCTTTCCACTGATCTTTCCAGTTGTCACAATGTTTTCCAATGCCTCTCTTCTTATTACGTGGCCAAAGAACAGTGTTTGTCTCCTTCTTTTTGTTGTATATAGAGATCTACCTTCATTAGCTTCTTTCAAACAATTGTTGTTAAGTTACTCTGGCTGTCCAAGGTATTCGTAACATTCATCTCAGAAACCATATCTCTGCTGCATCCAAATTCTTCTTAATCTGTTCATTGACACTCCAAGATTGGCTGCCATACAGCAGAACAGGTATAGGTAACAGTTTAGCACTCTCTTTCTGACATTAAATGAGAGCAACTTATTGCATAAGATATTTTTCATTTTCTGAAATGCTGCCTTCGTCTGACCTATCCTGCTTTTCATCTATGTCACACATTTTCCATCTGATTAAATGATTGTTCCCAGATATTTGAATTTATTGATTTGGTTAAGTCTTTTTCTTTCAACTGAGATACCAGAATGTGGTGTTATATTACTTCCATTTTCTTAATATTCAAAGAAAGTCCTTTCTTAGCACTCTCCATCCCTACAATATCTAGCAGTTGTAAATCAGCTGCGTTTTCAGTCAGCAAAACTGTATTGTCTGAATAATGCAAATTGTTTATATTGTATCCTCCAACTCTTTTTCCTGCATTCTTTTTAATTCCCCTCAAGATTACTCCACTATATAGAGAAGAACCATCATCCCCTTGTGGGATGCAATTTTTTGGTTATTTCGGAGCCCCACCCTAGCTTTTGCCGGGAGCCCTCAATATAACCGGGCCTTAAATATGGCCTAACCGCTGAAAGGGGGTTTCCGGGTGTTTATCACTTGTCTAATGTCCTGGTGGGGTACATACTCTCTTTCCCAACTAATGAATTTAAAATCTCCCAATATTATTTTAATTTATTGTGATTTTGTTTAGGCTATTGCCAAATCTAAATCTTTGTACAATTGTTCTGTTTTCTCTTCACTGCTAACTGATGTTGGGGCATACACTTGTATTATGTTTATATTTATTGGTTTGCCTTTGATTTTAACCATTACAACACGATCTGATATACTCCAGTAACCCACAGTTGCTTTTACTGTTTCCTTATCAAAAAAGCATCCCCACCCCCATTTTATATTTTTAACTTCCTGAATATATATTTGTGTGCTTATCTTTTCTGATCGTTCCATCACCCTTCCATCTTATTTCACTAATTCCTAGGATGTTTATCTTCATACAACCATTTCTTTTACAAATTTTCTGTCTTTCCTAATTCTGCAAGTGTTCTCAAGTTCCACGTTGCTAGTTTGAAACTTTTAATTTTCGTAACTTTTTTTAAATAGCTCTCCGTAACCTGATGATGATCTGGTATCATCTGTGACTCCTGACTGTGCCTACTGGACAAGGCTGTCCTTAGACTTCCACTAACATCGTTCGTGTGATTCAGTCTGTGTTTTTCCATATCGTGGGAATATAATGTGGTGATTTCCTGTTGCCTTTCACATTCACATGGGGCATTTTAACCCTTCTCTACCCAGCTGTGGAGTGATCCACTTATTCCAGTAAATACTCGGTCCCCCATATCTGTGGTGTTTTTCTCACTCTCCACCATTTAGAGGTGCAGTTTGGGATTTTCCCTATCATCAAATAAGAAACCAGGATGGCATTTCTCAAACTCTCTAGGTACTTTCTATATGAACAACATCTTCTATTCTGATAGTGGTCACTGTATACTTACTGAGGGCACTGTTTCTCACAGTCTGTCATCTTTCCTTGGCTTTGAAGTTACTGGGCCAACCCCCCCCCCCCCCCCCCCCCCCCCCTCCTCTTACGTATAAGAAAGGGAATTTATTTAATATAACCATTTCCATCACTTTCACATCTCCCTCTAATCTGTGTAATAAGACTGTGTCAGAGAACTATTTCAGCAACTCCACAGAATTTTCACAAGACACTAGTTCAAAAAGAGTAAACCAAACCTGACTTTCCACAGCTCTAATGCAAATGCTCATTCACTTTCCTGTTGTGCTATTGTCTCACATAGGGCTCACAGTCTATTTTTCCACTCCATTCTATCCAGTACAATCACTCTGACACTGTGGATGGAATCCAATCCAGCACTTTTGGTTTCTCTCATCAACATTCACCTTAGGATTTCTCTTGTACATCCTCATATCCTCAATCCCCTTATTTCTCATTTTAGTGCCTGTTTAGTGATTCTCTGTTCATCACTTCCCAGAATGTGTCATATATTGTGCCATCTTCTCTGTATTATAACTGCTGATAGTAGTGATTGCCCATACATTTCTCTTGTTTCTTCACTTCTCTCAAATTAATCCCAATTTATGTTTCCTCAGGCATTTGTGGGGGAAAAAAAAGTGAATGAACTTCGCTAAGTGCAACAAAGCCTGGCTTACAACACCACTACATCTAATTTGAGAATGGAGATGGAGGCAGTAACTGCAGCTTTCTGTTAGTTTAAGACACACATGTTGTAATTGTAAATGACTCACAGAGCATGCTGAGAAAGGCGGAGACTGGTACGCTCTGTGAAGAGTGGCAAGCATCATTTCAGAGGTCCCGGGTAGTTAGCGTCCTTTGGATATTTTCTCCAGGGCATATCAGTATATTAAGAAATTAAAAGCAGATAGACTGGCTCTCTGATGCATGAGACACTAGATGCTGTAAGGGTCCTTTGGGGGTGAGTGAACAGTGAAGAGGTACAAATGGATCACCACGTCTGGGGAGAACGGTGCTGCAAGGAGTGACCAGAAGATCTGGACGACAATCAACAATTAAGGGAAAAGTAAGATAAATATACAATCATACTGTTACTGGTACCATCGGAACTTGAACTCTGCACCTGCTGCTGAAGGTAGGGACGGAGCGCTTATGGGAATCTCCCGAGTGCTGTGATGTCAATTGTTGATTAAACATACTTAGGTTAGAAAACCCTAGGTAGAACCAGTTACCTTGCAAAGCAACATAGATATTGAAGAATCTTTATTCATGAGAAACAAATCTGAAAACCGGTAAAATTGATATGAACAGAGCAAAGGAAAGACAGAAATTTGTGGACGATTTGGCCAATAACATACTGTGGCAAAACACAGTCTTGCCCACAAACCTTGGTCTGAGCTAGCAAACCATAACCAAAAACCTTTACTGGCTAGCCACTTAATAATGATGATTTTGTTTCTTTATCTTTAATCCTCCTTCATATAAATATGTCTCTCAAATTTTCCTCACCTCTTCCTGTTTCCGCTTCAGCACCACATCTTTCTGTATTGTCTGCCGCTCCAAGGTTTTGATAATATTATCTTTCTTCAGCTGCTCCTTCCGAAGCTGGCTGAATTCTTTGCTGCGTCGCATTTCATTCTGCCTGTTTTTGTCAACTTCTTCTTTCACTTGCTTCATCAGCTTAACCTGAACAGATGAAAAATATTTACATTATGACTTTTAAACAAAATTTGATAATAACAGAGTGGAGATGTAATGTGACAAGAGACTGTTCACAATCTAAGGCAATGCTTCTCACCCCATGTCCATAAGTGTATGTGCCTGCTTCGGTACAGTAATCAATAAAATAACATGGTTTTAGATATGTTGTCAACTACATAAACACTTTCATGGTTTTAGATATGTTGTCAACTACATAAACACTTTCATGGTTTTAGATATGTTGTCAACTACATAAACACTTTCATGGTTTTAGATATGTTGTCAACTACATAAACACTTTCATGGTTTTAGATATGTTGTCAACTACATAAACACTTTCATGGTTTTAGATATGTTGTCAACTACATAAACACTTCCATGGTTTTAGATATATTGTCAACTACATAAACACTTTCTATATTTCTGGCATTTAATTCCTTCAAGTTTTTCTTCCAGGCAGCTATTTAGAGGGATGACCATAAGGAGACTACACAAATCTCAAATTAGATAGCAAGCCAACAAGGCAAAATCCCACACATCCTGTTTAATCTCCAAAGAGGTTTTAACTGGGCATTTGTAACAGGCACATAAGCTTGATGGAGCCTGCAGCTCAGTGTGGGTAAAGAGTGAATATATGTGTAATACAATAAAATGTAAAAATATCAAATACATACATGCACATATAAAATGTTTTCCTGAATATCAAGTCTATGAGACATTCTTACCAATAAAGTCCAATTTGTAAACATATTTCTCTAGCATTCTATTTTATATATTCCATCATTTCACAGTATCCACTTCTGGCCTAGGCAATGATTTACAATGTACAATGATTTAACTGTAAAGCATAATTATGAGATAACTGTCTGCCTGAAAACCAGACAGGCCATAACATCTGTTTCATGGAACCAGAAATATGAGAAATATCTGCAGGATTTGCTGAATATATGAATATTAAAGCCAAAAAACACTGTCTAGAAAAGTACATACACACATTAAAAAAAGTTACACAAAATAATTATTTTTCACTTCTATGTCCCCCTACAAATAAGCTCGATCTGTAAAACAGATGTGCATGGAAAACTCAAGTTCTAGAACAAGACTAAAGTCCAGAAGTGGACAAATGACTTGTCCACTGGAGTTTACAGTTTATAGCCGGTCAACGCTAAGAAGAAAAAGAAGAAGACTTCTATAAGTCAAATGCACACAACTACTAAAAGACTGGAACAGGCATCAACTTGTACCTATCTTGACCAAACAATAAAAAACACAAAAGACAGAGGTGACATGGAAATCAAGAACAGAACAGAAACTGCAAAGGTGAGACCTGCAACAACATGAAATATACTTGTCTACAAATGCTATCACAAAAACTGACAATGAATCTCATAGAATATTATGCTCATATTACATAAACATTGCTGCATGGAAGGGAAGCATGATTAAAAAGATGGAGAATAAAATAAAGTCTTACAAAAATTAGTCTTTAGTTAACCGAAATGGGGGGGGGGGGGGGGGGGGGGATGACAAAGAAGTCCTCAAACAGTGAATTATCTTTGTTCTCTGTATTTACCACTTGTTAGGGTAGTACAGGAGGCCCCTGTGGATTCAAGACCACATGGCAACTATAGTTGCCACAAACTATGCCCTGAATCTCTATACATAGACAAAATAAACATATCACCACTGCCATTACAACTTCAGCCAGCCATAGCAACTGCAGTGTCAGCAAGATTGCACGCTCATTTCTTTGAACACCCGTATGACCTGGCACAAAGATTAAGGTTAGGGCAGATATTCATGAAGTACTTAGTGTTGCAATCCATTCTTGTCCGATTAATCCAGCTTGCATTTTTTTTAAGCATATTCATCGAGTAAAAAGGCCTTCATTTCTACATCTATCCTAAAAAAGTGGGAAATACATGCAGCAATGAGTTTTATGACAGTCCATAATCCACTCCCATATCAGTAACATTCACCTTCGTCTTTTTCATTTCTCCCAACTCATGCTGTAAAGTCTTCAAGTGCCTTTCATACTGGAAATTGTTCTTCTGTACTTTAGCATGTTTCCTCTGCTCAGACTGCATTTTTTTCAGCTCTTCTTGTAGAGTGCCAAGCTTCTTTTCAAATTCTTGTTTCACCTTCTTGGTGGCCGTGTCAGCTGTTGAATGACTCATTTTCTCTGCAATCAAAAATGCAACAAGTCAAACGCTGAATATTTGCTACTTGTGCTAGCAGTTTAAAAAAAAAAAAAATCATATGAAGGTAAAGAAGATGGTTGAAGAGATAACCGATTACTGTACAAATGCTTTACAATGAACAAAATTTTTGTATGATATAAAAATTGCACGCTGAAACAATTTAATTTAAAATTAATTAAATGCATATATTTTTCTACTATACTTTTTCCAGCTTCTCTCATTATCATGTAGTAAGTCCTTTGTACAGCGTTGCTCTCATCACGGTCTGCCTGAAACTCTGTGTCTCTCACTTTTATATTCAAGGAGTCACTTATATCCTGTGTTCATCTTCGTGTTGGTCGACCCCTGCCTCTCCTTCCAGGAAATGAGAAGCGTCTGGCCAAAGAGTTAAAATGATGAGCTCTGATTCAGGTTCAAATCCTGGTAAAGCAATGAGATTTTTCTATCAGGGGCTCCTAATGTGAGCAGTCAGTGGCAAAGGCATTAGCCATGTGGCCCTAATATCCTCAGGTTAAATAAACAGGACTCCTTCCTTGCCTTACACCACCCTCAAAAATGGTTTAATAAGGGCAGTGAAAGACATGTTTAAAAAAAAAAAAAAAAGACTGCCAAGAGTGGATTCTGCATGAGCCAAACTTCAGGCTATCAGAAATATACAACTGTGACTCATCAAAAATGTTCAAAGATAACACAAATAAATGTGCTGACAATTTAACGAACTACAGTCAAAGCTATTCAACATACCTCCGCCTGAAAACTCTTTCAACAATATATATGAATTATGAGTAAGATTATCTTCACAGCACTCCGGACACATCTATACGTGCTCAGATTCCCCTCTCAACATATTCACCAATGTCGCACAGTTAATAGTGCCAGTCCTATGTTGGTTAACAAGACTTCAATTTCAACAATATTATTTCCCACAACTGACTGTGTGGGGTCTGGGCTCCATTTTGGAGGGAAGGGAAGGAGAGAAAGAGTAGACCCACTTCCCCCCTAACAAGAATGTTGTATAGGGTGACTAATTGAGGAGTAGGTTCACCGAAAACAGAAGTGCTGGGTTGGAAAAAAGCAGATATCACAGCCTAGCTGTAAACCACAACACAAGACACCAACTGCCCTTTAACGAGCAAATGGAGAAGTTCTCACAGAATGTATGTTAATTCAGAATTTAATGAGAGCCGGAATGGACATAAATTAACACCTGTGAAATGAAATGCCTGAGACAAGCCGTCAACTTAACCATTGGAGACAAAATTATAAATTATATTATCAGACTGTGGGAACAACACCATGCAGCAAATTCATTCAGAAATAGAGATAAAATGATTTGGTCATCTAGTTAGAACGCAGTCAGAACAACTACCAGCGTAGGCGCAACACATGAAAACATGTTAAAACAAGAGGTCGCCTTAGGAGAATATGTAGAAACAACATTAAAGAGCGTCTATATGATAATAGCCATTGCTGCGCATCAAGCAATGGATTACAAACTGTTCCTCCCCATGTCGCTTACACACAGATGTGGAAACTGGTGATGATAAATGAGTTGAAAGACATTTGAAAAATAACTGTTTAATTTTCCTTACCAATTTCCGACAAGACCTTGTCCCTCTCCACTTCTGTTTCCTTGATTTTCTGCTGAAGCTGCTGAACTTTGCTCTCATAATGCACTTTCAGAGAGTTCATTTTTTTCTGTGTCTGCTCAAGTTCTTCTATCAGTCGCTGTTTGATGGTGATCTCACACACCACATTGGCCAAGTCTTCATGGACATTGTCGGATTCTGGAACCCATCATAGATTTTGTTTAATCACATCAAACAGAAAGTTATACAAACAATATATTCGTCCAACAGGGTTACTAAACAAACTTGTACTTAAAAACATCTAGGGCAGATATTTAGCTACACAAATACCATTTCCTGTCACAAAATACATAACAATTAACATGTGTCAGTGTGCGTAAAAGTCTTTTGATCTGATTTTTCAGCAGTAAATAAATGCAGCTAGGGACAGATGGCATCATGAAACTGGTGAATTCAGTACCAACGATGAATCCTGTATTATCTACACTTTGAAACCGCAACTGTGAAGTGTTTGATGACAGATAAGTTCCATTTAATTTGTAAAATATGATGGGGGCTAATGTTTTCACAAGAAAACAAATACATACAATAATGTGTTGGAAACCTGTGGCTTGAGTTTTTTCCTGTAGTTTATGTGTGTGTGAGATGGCCTAAAGATAGGAATAGACATTTCCCCCCAAAACTGCTCGATTTTCTTGCATTACTGCGACTGCTTAGACTAGTACATTATTGCGCTTGAGTAATTATGAAGTCGTAGACCTTCACATATACTAATCATGACTCCATGAGGCAGGTGATTAACTTCATTCCTTGCCATTTTTCCTTCTCAAGCAAGTCAGTAACAAATGATTTTGTCTCTGATTTATGATGCTAGACTGATACCAAAGTAGAAGTGTCACAAAAAAAAGAAAGCTATAATCAAATGTACCAAGAATCCCACAAAATACTTCACAATAAAAAAACTATGTTTAAAATGAATTAGTTCCGACTGAGAATTGAGTTTGAGTCTACTGTCAGTGAATTATTATCTAAAGAGCTCAGAAGGAAGAAGGAGGAGGAGAAGGAGGACGAGCAGAAGAAGTACAGGATCCTCTACATGCTTTAGTAGTATCAGGCACATGATGCTAGCCTGGCAGTTATACAGACCAATCATCAAAGGATGTGTGATTTGGTCAACATGACCCTGGCCGTTTTTACCTAGCACAACATATTACCTGCAGTGCCATCTCAGCATATGGGGCCACAGGGTACCTGCCCAGGGGCAACCCCAACATAAGGGCTCCAAGTGACCATTCACATTTCACTTCTGTGAGTGGTTGTCATAGGGGCCCCAGCGCACTGTTTGGCCCAGGGGGCCATAATCCTGTCAAAACAGCTCTGACTATCTGCTGATATCAGTTTTAAACTAGGTCAATTTGGGATCCCAAGTACTTGTTAAAAATCTGCTTTGATTGCAAGTTTGAACCCATGACATCTAGGCATGAGGGCCAACCATGAGCCACTGCAGCTCGCAAACAAATTTAGCTGCATCACTGACAGCACTTTCATGAGTCACTGTGACACTGGCGGTTAGACGCTCACCTGCGGATCAGAAGGTTGTGGGTTTGTGTCCTGGCGAAGCCGAACTTTTTTTTTTTTTTTTTATGACCTTGACTCCCAGGCTTTGAGGGTACCAGATGCAGTCCTGGGAAGTAAAGGTGCTGACCACATCATCCACCAAGTGCCAATTGGTGTATAAAAATATAGTCTAGCCTTATATTCCCAATTCCTATAAAGGCGTTGAAAAGGGACCTTTTACTGACAGCACTTTGATCCTCACGATAACATGTATTGCTCTAAAAAGTCTGATACTAATTTCAAGCAGCAATGAAGGTAAGTATTAACATTGGTGGAGTCTAATTTTTAGATGGAATAATCAATCAATAATGGTTAAAAGTGCATATGAAAGAAATAAAATTTAAAAAGTGGACTGTTATCAGGGTGGATTGCTATCAAAGTGGCTGACAGATGTGGCAAATAAAATCACCATAGTCAAATGTGAAAAGCGACAACAGATTAATTTAAGAATATACATTTTCAAAGTATGTGCCAATTTTAAGTATGTTCAAATTAATATTTATGCTGTATAGTTAAGTTCTAAAATTGTTCGGATGAAAAAAATAATCTTAAAAGAAGACAATATTGTCATGTTTACCTTTAACCAAGAATGGCAATATGAATTATGAAATGCAATTAGCAACATGTGCTTTAGGTGGAAAACACAAAGCCCAATATCTTTTTTCTTCTTCTTAAAGTCCATGCCGTGTGGCATTGGTAGTCATATCCATCCACACCCTTCTGTCTCATGTACTTTCAGTCAGCTCTGACACAGATGATCCTCCATAGCATGATGTCAGACTGCCCAGCATCTTTTCTCTCAGTCTCCCTCTGCCTCTTCTCCCTTCCAACTTTCCCACTGTCACAATGTACTCCAGTTTTCTCTTTTTCATCACACAACCAAAGAATGTAGATTGTCTCATTCTAATGCTTTAGCAAAAACCTACTTGAGACTGGATAATTTTCATGACAATAGGACTCCAGAGTCAACCCAGCTGAATAAAATGGGTATCAGAGAATATTTAAGAGAGGCTGGGTGTCTAATACAATACTAGCCACACAGTGCCTTAACAGGCTTTGACAATGAAATTTTGGGTCTATAACTATTTCACTATTATATCACAAAAGAATGACGAAAATGGGGTTGTGTTTTTTTTTTAAAAAATACAGTCTGACAAATACTGAGACAAATCATCATCATCAATCATCAACTTCTTTACAGAACGTTGCTCTCTTCACGGCAGCCTGAAAGTATCCTTTTCCCTAGCCAGCTCTCCAGCCCCGCGTGTTTTCAATGTCAATGCTTCTCTAATGTCCTGTATCCATAATTGTGGTGGTCGACCCCTGCCTCGCCTTCCACAAACTGCACCCTTCATCACAGTCTTTTCCATAAATGTCGATCAATAAATGCCTTCAATTTATGTCCAATCATCTATGATCTGGCAAAAGTGTGGTATCCTAAGGTCAGCAGACTACTACAAGAAACCCCAAAAAATGTTACCTACAAAAACATCACACCAGCCATTTACTTTAAGTGTTGTTGAACTAACTACTGAGGGTGTCAGTTTATGCCATTACTAAACACAGCCTACAAACGATGTCAGTTACAGTTTAACCAAATAAAGCAGAAAATAAACCGGCTTCTATGGGGGAAAATAAACACACCTTTAAATAAAATGAACTGGCTTCTACTCACAGTGCAGTGTCAAATAAAATATGAACCATTTGTATAAACTATACCAAATTTGCCAAAGGCATCAGTTGAAGATTGTGACGTCTGTGCGCCTCTTTAACTACTCAATTTGATGATGATCAAATGGGTTATTTAAATATGCAAGGACCATCTTCACCAAACTTAAAATAATCCCCTAATCCACCGATTAATTTTTTCAAGGGTCTGAGAATATATGTGCTACTAACATAAGTGAAATTCCCACTCTGTGTATGCCTGAATCACAAATGCTATAAAATATCTGCTTTGTATTATTATCGAGTGGCTTTCTGACTGATGTGAGTGATCATAATTCATATCCTGTGACCTCCAACAGAATGTATCAACATGTGTAGACACGCTTCCATGCCATGACAAAAGACTGCCACAAATCATCATCTATAATAGTTTCAATGCAATTAAAATGGTCCTTTATTAAATTTATATTCTGAAAGGCAGATACAGCATCTTTCAGCAACCCACCTGAGTGGATATATTTATACGTATACAGTCAGTTTGTTATGACACAAACACTCAAACAAATATTCTTTTCTATCTTATTAATTCAAGAGGGAAAGACTATTTTTTCAAATATATCTAAACAAAATACTTAAATCTCTAAAGTCTGAACTTTTGAAGTTGATGCTTGTGGCATACTCAGTAAATCAATCGTTGTCCCATGTAACTGTTATGTCAAACATAGCACTTGATTTGGACTCTTGTCAGTGCTAGGCAGTCTGTACAAGGATCTAGAAAAGGAGACTGGACCATTTATGAGGGTATCTTTATGCAGTAAAGGTGAAACCGAGCATTTCAATAACATCTCTTGTCCCATAATTACTGAACCAGTCCCACAGTGCTCACTGACGTATTTCATAATATGTAATGTGGAACCAGAAAGCATTGGCAAACAAATGGACATTAAACTGCCTAGTGAAAGCACACACCATTCAATAAATCCTGAGGATGGCTTGAGACATCCTGAAGAGGATATGTAGCTAACTTTAAAAGATGTAACCCAACAACAGATTCTTAAACACCACATGCTCAGAACTTTGACACCTATCAAACATTTGAACATGTTATGTGGACAGAACAGACCAGCATTTATGGCATCTGCCTCTATTTTGAGCACATACGATTTGCCTCATGGATATAACTGGCTGGATTTTTTAATTATTATTACCCTTGATCTTTGGTAGTGGATTAGTCTAGTGTTTTTCTTTTTAAGTGAAGGGTCAAAACTCAGAGAGCATTTTCATATGCTAAAGATCCTTTGGCAGCAGGAAATTTAAAAAACCAAAAACACGCTGAATATGCCAAAGGCAAGTTTAAAAAAAAAAGTTCTAAATTAGGAAAGCTTTAAAAAAAAAAAAAAAAAAACTGAAAAGGAATATTTACAGCCGGTTTGATTTTTGCATACACTAATACACTCAATGGGATCCTCACTAGCACTACAGAGTCCATGCTCTGTGCTGAGTTATTCTGTAACCTATGAGAGAAGGTTGGTGTAATGGATGTAATCCTTTAGAAACCAAACCAAACACATGGAAAGCTGTGTACAGATTTAAGCATGTTTTACGCATTCACAAAAAAGAAGAAGAAAAAGATCAGCATAATTAGACTTTTGCTGAGTGCCTAATCAAATGTGCACCCCAAGTTTACCCAATCCAACAGTGCAGATCCAAACAGCAAAGCTTCTAACTACAAAAATAATGCACAAGTATACCTCCATTATAATACCATGGGTCTTTACAAAGACCAACTGCAAAATTCCACATAAACCGTTAATCTTCTAGACAATACAGTTGTTAATTCTTTCTCTCCAAACAAGGATCCACACTTAAAGCAATGACAAAACTGCTTATGTTTCACTAGTTTTTTCAAATGGAACAGTGAAGGACATTCTGTGTGATCTCCAATGGCACATGAATGGAGCAGTTATTTGGTTACCCATCTGCATGGAAGTTGGAGCCCTGAATTACATTCACATCACATAAGCCACAGACACCAACACATACTCATATATTTATATATATATATATATATATATATATATATATGGCACTCAAAAAAGTTGTTCATGACAAACTAATTAAAGGTCAGGATGAAATATGTACAGATGGCAAGTACGTAAGATTAGCAACAAAGGAAGGATCTGAGTCTGCATCAGAGATTACATTTTTGAAGAGCTCTTTTAAGAGTTTTCTGTTTTAGAGCTCTCAAGTCAACTCAGCCTAAAATGGGTACAAGGAAATGTCTTGGGAAGTAAAGGTGGCATGGCTTATATTTAACACATCACCCATAGGCTGTCGACTGATCTATACAAATATGTGTCTGGCACAATAAGACTGATACACCTATGGTATGAAAAGATTTCTTCACTGGAAACAGAGCAACTGTGTGATTATTTATGCATGTACCAACTCTCATAGTTAAAGTTAGCTGCCTATCCTTTACAGGACGTTGCAGAAGCAACTCCAACATTTTTTGTTGTGGTTTTTCTAGGCAAATTTTACGATCAGTAGTTTGCCATTACTTTCAGAACGGTCAACACTGGATACCACTGTCGTATCCAAGGCAAGACAAAGCGTCTGCAACTGGGATTGAACCCAGCACCCCACATTACGAAGTGCGTTCGCAATGCCTAAGCCGCAGAACTATCATAGTTATAACAAGAATAAGAGTCAAAAGTAGTTCCTCTTTCTTCAAGTCTGTACAATATTTATTTAAAGAAAATATCTAAATGGACAGAGGGAGTACCAGGATTCAACACCGGAGGAAAATCAATAAACAACCAAAGATCAAAGTCTATATATTTTTGTTGTTCAAAACAAAACAGGACCTACAAATATAAGTAAATCAAGTACAACCAATTTAAGTCATGAAAATGGCTGAGACATAAACATAAGACAAAGAAAAACTCACATTATCAAAAGGTAATTCTAAGCTAGTTTTGAATACTGCAGTGAATGGAAAGATTTAAACAAGTCGGTGGTATTCTAACCTAAGCCAGTTAATAATAACAGTGATGTTAAATGTGAGGCGGAGAAAGAGAACAGGAAAGGCTAATGCAGCATTCAATAACAGGAAGCAGCATTTCTTATCTAACCAGCAATTATGAATGAAAACTAAGGGGGATTAAGTTTTGCGATTAAGTGTTATAATGACTCTATGTAATTGTATGTGCAAAAACAAGGACCATGAATAAAAAATGTGATCATGAAATCTAAGTTTTCAAAATATAGTTACACAGATGAACTGAAAGAATACTGTGGCAGGAGAAGATAATGGCAGAAAATGTGGCAGTCCAAGAATTAGCTAAAAACTGTAACTCATTAAAGAAATTAAAAGCAGACAGTCAGATTTCTTTAAAGCATATTATGAGGAGAAAACACTTGAGAAACTTAGTTGCAACTAGCAAATCTGATAGAAAAAAGAGCAAGAGATGAAGACAAAGAAATATTTAGATTGCCTGACAATATTAAATAAGTAGGATAAAATCACAGGTCTGATCCGAGACTCTAGTAATCACACGGGATAGTGAATCATATCTTACCGGCCGAGGCACATGATAATTACACAAAATGGGAATGGAGAAAACATTACTGAATGGGATGAGTGTCAGACAATTAGGTAACCCTGGTCACATAATGACAGAGCTCCTTACTGAAGGATACGTCGAAGGTAAAAGTAGAGGGGAAATGTGTAAGAAGACCAAAGTTACAGATGGATGAACAACATCAAGAGATGAGTTGGATGAAGCCACGATCATGAAGCAAGAAAGAGACAGCTGGCCTTCAATGCAGAGATGACACTTGATGATGATACTTAAACAACTGAAGAGTAAACTTACCTCCTCCATCAGAACCTGATGAGATATCCGAGTCAGAACTGTCCTCATCGACATCAGTATCATCCTCTTCATCACCGATCTCATCATCATCCTGTTACGAATGACGCAATAGTTACTAGAAGTACCAATAAGAAATATTATCACACAAAAGCTAGAAAACAGTTCATATTATCAGTGTCAGTCACTACAATATGAACATCTGAATACAAAAGCTGATCTGAGTCCAAATGTAGCTTCCTCCATGGTGTCTCAGGAAGTAAAGTAAAAGACGCTTTTGCACGCCTTCAGACTTATCGGGCCAGACCTGTATTTTTATTGACCAATCGGCACTAGGTGGGTGATAAGGTCAACATCACTCAGGCCACATTTACTTCCCAGGACTATACCTGGTACCCACTCAAGGCTGGGTCACCCTGGGAGTAGAGGCAATTTTTTTCAAAAGTCCAGCTCCTTCAGGACCTGAACCCATGACCTTCTGATCTGCAGGAAAGCATCTAGCCACTACATCACGGTGGCATTTGAATACAGAAGCTTAGTGATTTAGTTTAAATGTGTGTCATAGAGAACTGAGGCCTAGTGTTGCTTCCTTGATTGTGTTCAAAGGCTAACATTATCATAATAATATATAATAATAATAATAATAATAATAATAATAATAATAATAATAGCTTCAAGAAGGAATTAGCACAGCAGGAGTCTACCAATCTTCACTAGGTATCCCCCTTTCAACGATTGTTTTGGCTCAATTACCTCCCTAGATGATCTCTGGGGCCTGCTGACCTAGGTCGTGACTCCTGGCACTCGGACTTCTCCTGCTTATAGGACAAGACATTAGGGTAATTGCAACAGGTACTAAGGTTATGGTGATCGTCGCAAATTGACCACCTCCCAATTCGACCAGAGTGACAAATGGACGGTTGGTTCATCGGATAGATCTTTATCAGACAGACTTTAGCAGTTGGCATTAGCATGGGCAGATGCATATACTGCATGAATAACTCTTTTCTGATGGACCTTCTTCTTCTTCTACTTCTGCCTTTTGCCTCCCTCAGGAGCATAAGCCCAACTCTCATTAAGCCTTCCTATTTTTTGCCATCTCCAGCAGATCCCTTCAAGCCATCCCCTTATTATCAATCCACACCTCTCATTTTCTTATCCATGCGCTTTTAAGTCTCTATCTCTCCCTCTCTATTTCTTTCGCTCTGTGGGTCTCTTTATCTCTCTCCCCCTCCCTTTTTCTCTACTTATTTTTGCTCCATGGGTCCCACGAGAAAGGACTTTCTGCTAATACTAATACTAAAATAGGTCTCCCCAATGTGTTTTCTCTCCAACAGCAATTTGTCTTGTCATCTGCTGACCTGCCTGAATTTCTCTTGTTCTATCCTTAACCCCTCCCTTCTTGTTTATGTCTAGATTTTGTAGCCAGTCCCATTCAAATCCAGTGTGGCTAATGTGACAGCTGCCTTATGCATTTTTATTTTGCGTGTGCAAGCATTAAGGTTTTGCTGGGACTGACACATTTTATCTCTCTAGTTTTCATATGGTACAGTGAAAGAAATTGTGTGTGATTTCTACTGGCACACAAATGGATCACTTATGTGGAGTTCTGTCTGCAGCTGAAACCTTGACTAATGATGATTAACTGATTCCAACCCATCTTAGTCACCTCTGACAACATATAGAAGGTCTTGTCCATTAGAACATTAGATACACATGTATTTAGAAACAGCATTTGCCAGGGACTTGCCTACAATATAGAAAAGAACAATAAGAAAGCACAGCGAGGAATAACTGACAAAACATACCCCATTAATCTCTTCATCAGATTTCTCTTGGCTTGTGGCCTGATCGTCATCTCTGATTCTGGCACCAACATGAATATTTTCTTTGTCACTCCTAAATATGTTGAAAACAACAATACATTTTGTTTTTTCTGACTGCAACAACAGAATGAAAATACAGATACCTGTAAACATTATTTGCAGTTTTCTACTTCTTCACTGTTCTCTGTTTTGAGAGGAGTGAACTTTTTCTTTGTGTTAACTGGCTGGTAACTCTGGCAGAAGTTCTGGCTGTTCATCCACTTCTAAACTTTAGTGGTTTTCAAAAATTGGATTCTGCATGCACATCCATTATATCTTATCGTGAGAAACGATGTGATTACAAGAACTATTGGAACCATACCCATCGTTAAATTTATTGAGAAGCAAAGAATGAAATGGTTTGGTCACCTAGTGAGAATGGAACCAACGATGCCAGCATCAAGAGCATACAACATGAAAATCAAAACACCAAGAGGCAGGGAAAGGCCAAGAAGAAGATGGATTGAAGGAGTCACAGACAACTTGAGACTTCATAACATCACGGCATATGAAGTGACTGAGCGCGCCCTGGCTCGGTTGCCGATCATCTGATAGACTGCGACGCCTAGCGGCACAAGCAGATTTTGACAAAAGAAGAAGATCCATTATATAGATCTAGCTTATTGGTATGCAGACTGGTGGTTCCTTGCCTCTAGGGCAGATGAACTCTGACTTTGAAGGAATCCTCCAATTAGTCAACTCTTACGACATGCTTGTTAGGTAGACAGTAGGTCTATGCCTGTTTCCCTTATAATGGGGCCTAGAAACCTGCACAGTGAAAGAGGAGGGAACCACACCTTATTATGTACTTCTCAAGAACCTCAGTAAATATCTGTGTTAGGTTTGCTTCCTTTAGATAAGATTCCTTTCAAGACTCCTATCTACCCACAAGCAAGTTGTTTAACTTTCTTTTTTTAAAGTACCAAACAAAACCATACCTGACAACATATTGTGCAAAATATCTGTGTCCCTGTTATTCATCCCATTGTCCTGTTTAGGGCTTGCAGTTGATTTCTCCATTTCATTCTATCCTGTGCAATCCTTTCAATGTCATGTATGGAACTGTCTAGTCTACCACCTGTAGCATGTCTCATCAACACGTTGTAGTTTGTCTCTTGGATGTCCTTGATTTCCTCAGTCCAACTATAACTCATTTCAGTGCCTGTTTTGTGATTCTGTCTGTCCCATCTCAGAATGTGCCAGTATATCATTACCTGATATGTTGTTGTTGGCACCTGTCAATCTTTCCAGACAATAGTGTTAGATTGTGCTATAGGGAGGCATGGGAATCCCAGCCCATGACGACAGCCAATGCTAAGAAAAGTCTTTCACAATTAGAGTATGGAATTCCAGAAACACTATTGCTATCACACGTATTTAGTGCACTTCTTCTCAGATGCTCAGCTCTCAAATTGCCTGCAACCATTTTTTCCATTATTCCCATTCCCTGATTTTCCCCTCAATGCAACAGGGCTCATGGTATTTTTGTTCCCCTGAATCTACCTCTAAACCTTATCATTTATGTCCCATCTGCGCACATCTTTATATCTTAGCAGACATTGACCTCAACAGCTTCTCTCGAGATTTTGTACATAATAATGAAAGGATATTGAGAATTCATCACAGATGTACTCTACCAACTTCCAAGTTTGACCCAGCCATCTGAGCCTTTAGAGACGAGCACTAAGAAACTGTTGTGATACTTGCTCTTTCCAATATCTTATTGTTTGTGATCTTGTCTTTCAACTTTCTCAATGTGGGATCCGGGGCCCTAATGTGGGGAAAACAAGAACAGACCCACTGCCTTCCCAACAAGCATGTCATAGGAGTAGACTAATTTGGGGCATCCTTCGAAATCGGAGTACATCTGTCTGAGAGACAAGGAACCACAAGACTGCGTACAAATAAGCCAGATCTATGAAGCCGATGGGCAAGCAACACTCAGGTTCTGGAAAAAGACTAAAATCCAGAGGTGGACAAACACCCACAACACTTCGCCAGAGTTTACAGCCAGTGAAAGCGAAGGAGGAGAAGATGTCTTGCCAATTAATGGCAAGTATTCCTCTTGGGCGTAACAAAACAATGAATTTAAAGAATACTCACTCTTGGTTCGGTGCATGTGAATACGATTTCTGAAGTTTCTTAAGTCTCTTCATTTCCTTTTTAGCATCATGAAGAACAGAAGTCTCCATATAGTCAGGTGATACTGGAGCTTCCATTCCTCCAGCAAATGAAGATGTCAGTGACATAGAACTGAGTGACATTCTGGCTGAAAATCTTGGAGATCTGGCAGTGGATTTGTTCAGGTGTTCACAAAAGGATTCTGATTCAGCTAATTTTGTTCTGAAAATAATTCAATAGAATTTTAATTTAACTTTATAAAATAGTGCCTCAGAATTTTAACCATTACTGTCCCTAGGGAAAAAGATAAACAGCAGATGGATTGTCAGGATGATCATCTTCATGCAGGGTAACGAACAAGAACCTGTTTCCCACCCTCAAAGGCCCTCGGATGTAAACGTGTCCCGATAACAAGCAAATTACATCTACGGGTACCCACAGTATTAGAGTAAGCCTTTACTGCGACAGGATTCTTTCGAGGCTTACTGTAATCGCAATTCTGCATCCTCAGTTATCAGAGCTACTGTTTATTTTTGTTGTTGTTGAGAGTACATCATTAAACCAAGACATCAGCACTGTACGCTTGTTTAGGACTTAAAATTCATCATTAACTATGCACACACCACATGAAACAAAGCCATGTCTGGACTCGAAATGATGCAGCCAATCTTCTAAATATTCACGCTTGTGTTGCAATCACAGTTGTTCATGAAACACTTTCGTATGTTCCTTTAAAAAAATCACCAGAAATCTCCACAACTTCACTAACATGAAGATTAAACAAGGTTATGAAAACTTGGTACAATCTCTTTATCACTGTCTTCATTACAAACATTTGCCTTTTTTTTTGTAACCACGGTCAGAAAAGAATTTCAGCAGTTTTTCTTTCTGTTAAAAAAAAAAAAAGATCATACATTGTTTAAGAGCCAATGTGGCATGTTTACATTTTACACCATCTGTTTTCTTTTGCTGAATCCATACTGAGGCTATGCAGCAGCAAATAAATTATAAAATTTCATAACAAAGGCGAATAGACATCGCCTAGTGCAGCAAAGCCTTGCATATGATCTAAGAGTTTATTATTCATTTTATTTATCAGTAAAAACGAACAGTTGCTTTCAATCAACAAATATTAGACACGATCAGCAGACAGAAATGAATTGAATCATAATTTCCATGCCGAGTTCAGCAGTAAGCATCACAGAAGTATCAAACTGATTCTCACTGTCCTTAAATTGTTAATGTTAGAATATACTTACTTCAAGTCCTCTATTTCATGAACATATTTTGTGATTAAATTGGAGACATCTTCATTTTTAGCCTGACCTGAATAACAAACAAAATGGAAATATTTAGACATACTTTTCTTAAAGAAAAAAAGTCATTTTTAGCATGACCTGATGAATAACAAACAAAAAGGAAATATTTAGACATCTTTTTCTTGAATAAAAAGTACATTACAAAGCTTTTCTGTGTGGGTTCCTGGGTCCCATTATGGGGGCGGGGGGAACAATCAACCCACTGCACCCCTCCCCACAATCAGCATGTCAAAAAAGTTGACTAAGTTGACTAATTAGGGGTTTTCCCTTTGAAGTCATAGTGCATCTGCGTGAGGGACGAGGAAACAACAGTTATCATATAAATAAGTCAGATCTGCAAAATGCATGTGCAAGCAAAACTCAAGATGTGGAGCAAGACTAAAGTCCAGAAGTGGACAAAAAATGAAAACATTCAGCTGGAGTTTATTCAATCGATGAAAGCTGAATGAACAGCTTGGTTGTCAACTGTACCTATACCTTTTTCTACCACTTATCAAACAGTGACATCCTTCCACTAAATCAACACCAATCCTTTAGTAGACCTGTTAATCATGAGCTACTTTTGCAGCTATGAGATCAGGTAATTAGTGCCATTTCAACTTTCCTTAATTCCCTCTTACACCATATATGGCAGGTTATATATATCTATACCATTCTTTATTTCTGTTTTAGGCCCTAATTACATATGGGTGAAAGGTTATCTGTTACACAAGCAAAAACATCAAACTATAACCCTTCACAAATTCTTTGTCCATAATATCTTCTATCAGTAATAACAGCTTGATGATAACTGCTAACAGTTTATAACTGTAACTTAACTCTTTTATGAAATCTATCAGTCCCTTCTCTTCTTCATTTTTCCCTGCAGGCCTTACAGTTTCAGGACAGGATATGGGTTTTATAACAACCTCTAGAATGTTCCCCTAACACTCTGGTATTTTCTGAGGACAAGTGTAGAGCAATTCAGGTTTTCTGTGACTAATCTCCAACACTGGTAGTACTGGATTTTTTTTAAAGAATCTTTGCTACAAGTCACTAGGTTGTTCACCTCGCACTCTGAAAGCTGTGCATTCAGTTTTAGACTCTGCCATCAGTTCATGAGAGATGTTTTGGAGATCCCTGGAGGATTGGGTCTGTAGTTCTTATTATGTTTTCTGTCTACTCTGATTTAAAGATCGTTTAAGAGTGTCTTGCCTCCTCAAAACCCCTGGAGAGACAGGACTGCCTCTGCAAGTTCATTTGCCTTTTTATTCTAGATGTGTGCTGTCAATTCATTAAGTTCTAAGCATTCTACTCATTAAAGTATTGCATTGATTTGTCTCGGTATTCACCCAGTGGTTGTCCCCAATCAAACAACTCTGATTATCTTGCAAAAAGCAATATTCCTTCCTAATAAAATTTTAGGAGTTTACAAACTGCATATTTCAGGAAAGTCAGAAAAATTCAAAGCTAGAATCGTTTTTAGGAGTTTACAAACTGCATATTTCAGGAAAGTCAGAAAGTGGTAAAGCTAGAATCGTTTTTAGGAGTTTACAAACTGCATATTTCAGGAAAGTCAGAAAGTGTCAAAGCTAGAATCGTTTTTAGGAGTTTACAAACTGCACATTTCAGGAAAGTCAGAAAGTGGTAAAGCTAGAATCGTTTTTAGGAGTTTACAAACTGCATATTTCAGGAAAGTCAGAAAGTGTCAAAGCTAGAATCGTTTTTAGGAGTTTACAAACTGCACATTTCAGGAAAGTCAGAAAGTGGTAAAGCTAGAATCGTTTTTAGGAGTTTACAAACTGCACATTTCAGGAAAGTCAGAAAAATTCAAAGCTAGAATCGTTTTTAGGAGTTTACAAACTGCATATTTCAGGAAAGTCAGAAAGTGTCAAAGCTAGAATCGTTTTTAGGAGTTTACAAACTGCATATTTCAGGAAAGTCAGAAAGTGGTAAAGCTAGAATCGTTTTTAGGAGTTTACAAACTGCATATTTCAGGAAAGTCAGAAAGTGGTAAAGCTAGAATCGTTTTTAGGAGTTTACAAACTGCACATTTCAGGAAAGTCAGAAAGTGGTAAAGCTAGAATCGTTTTTAGGAGTTTACAAACTGCATATTTCAGGAAAGTCAGAAAGTGTCAAAGCTAGAATCGTTTTTAGGAGTTTACAAACTGCACATTTCAGGAAAGTCAGAAAGTGTCAAAGCTAGAATCGTTTTTAGGAGTTTACAAACTGCATATTTCAGGAAAGTCAGAAAGTGTCAAAGCTAGAATCGTTTTTAGGAGTTTACAAACTGCATATTTCAGGAAAGTCAGAAAGTGTCAAAGCTAGAATCGTTTTTAGGAGTTTACAAACTGCACATTTCAGGAAAGTCAGAAAGTGGTAAAGCTAGAATAGTTAACTCCAATGTGATATCAGTACAGCTGAATGAATAAGAAACTAGGAGAATGACAAAAACACTTACTAATAAACAACAAACATTATCAAGCATTCTTAAATTGGTCACTGCATAGAACAGAACGACTAAGATTGTATGACAGGATAATCAATGTGGAGCTCATGGAGATAGCTAGACAAATTCCATCAAGTCTAAAGAATAGTGCTGGAAAGGACAAAGATTAGGAAACAATATAAACAATAAGTCACTTTTCAGAAATCCATCATTTTAAAACAAGACTTGTCTTCCTCTGCCTTTAATCTCCCAATGGAACATAGGCATTCCGTCAACTCACACCAAGCCATGAGTAGACGTGTTTAAGATTGGATTGGTTTTGCAGATAAAAATTTTCTGTGAGATGAAAAGGACAGTCCCATGGCAAACTTTTTTTTACTGCCCTCTCATGAAATACATTGTAGATTACCGTGTTGATTCCTGGAAAGACACAGGCAAAAAGCAAATACTGGAAGATCTCAATACAAATCATCAGCCCCGAATGCCAACTGCTGGTCTATACAAACATGTGTCTAGCATCATATATTTTATACTTCCTGTGTGGGTTTTTGGGTTCCATTTTGGGGGAAGAAAGAGCAGACCCGCTCCCCCCCCCCCCCCCCCCCCCATCAAGCATCTCATAAACAGTGACTAATTAGTTATGTTTCCTTCAAGGTCGGAAAACATCTGCCTGAGAGGCAAGGAACCAACAGTCCACATACAAATAAGCCAGATCTGTAAAACAGATGTACATGCAAAACTCAAGTTCTGGAACAACACCATAGTCCAGAAGTTGAGAACAATCAAGACTTGCTGCTGGAGTCTAGGTAGTGAATGCTAACAATAAGAATACACAATAAGCATCACAGGTTAAAAAGAGACCATTATTTCTGAAAGAATGGAATTAGAGATACAAGTAAAGAATGTTAACAACATTGCAGGAGAAAGCAAAGAAAAGAAAAGGTTTAGAGCAAGATGATCGAAGGCCTTGCTAACAAAGACAAAACATAGAATTTATAAATATTTTACCATCTGTCCCAAGAACAGAAAATACTGCAGCATCAGCCAGTAACTGAGAATTTCTAGCTTTCAGCATCTCTATAGTATCCTGTAGGGCCTTGATGCGCTGCCTCAACTTGTCATTTTCTGACTGCAGCATGCTGTTTTCTGTAACCAAGTCATTGACAGATTCCACACCGTCTGCATCTATTGCTCTCTTGCCCTGCAAACAAAATGTCTTTTTGAGGCTCACTTACTTTGACAGTAGCATGAAAGTTGAATGACTGGAAGTGAATTAACTATTTTTGTCCGAGGTTCACATCTTATCTCTATGAAATTTTATTCTAAATCTGGGACTTCCGGTTTAGAAATGGCAGCGTGAGGACGTGTTTGCGGCGACACACGATTTTATTCTAAAATTTTCACTTAATCGGTGTTTTTCTCTTGATAACAGAGTGCGATTATTACTAATTCATTGACGATGGATATTTTCTTGTTCGTGGATACAAGCATTATGTGGTTTAGGGGTGTTATAACGGAATTATTTCCACAAAATAGCCACGGCGGCGGCCGTGTCCTAATTCCGATAATGTAACCGCGTAGGAGCCACGCTCCCATTATAAACATGGGAGTCCACGGGTAAGACCCCAGTCTACTCTAGCATAACAAGGTGCTGAAGTCGGAGGCAACCAGCCAGGAGGCGCACCACAGCAATCAGGATGCCACGCACAAACGCAACAGGGAATATTCTAAATCTTATGATGATTTACTGGTTTGTTTTCTCTCTGTGAGTTGTTTACCTAGTGTTGCAGACTGAGACTCAATTATCTCTGAATAACTCAGTTATTTCATCTACAATTAGAGCCAAATTAATTCATGCTATCCCTGACTTCATCGTATCAAGCAATGATAAAATAACTGTCAACACACACACACACACATACACACACAAAAACAATACATATATTTCAAAACCAGACCTCTAAGTACCATAATAAGGTAATATTCCATGGGAATTCCCCCCCCCCCCCCCCCCCCCCCCCACAATTTTAACAGGTCACTAATAAATTTGTTACAAACTAAATTATGCAGAAAAAATCTGGAAATGAAGGAATGTACAATGACACGGAGACAACTGGCAGAAATGCAGCAGTTCAGATGCATGGAGACCATCTTTGAATGCCTTACATGTCAACAGCAACAGGAAGAGCACACAGATAGAAGTACCACCATATCAGCATCTGTGGCTTGGGTGTTGCCAAGCCACTTTGTAAAGCTAGGGTGCTGGGTTTGACGCCAGTTGCAGGTGATTTGGCAGCAGATTGTCTTGCACTGATTTTGACTGTGATATTGAGAGTCGACTGTTCAAAAAGAAATGGCAAACCAACGAATGTAAATTTGCCTAGAGAAACTGCAATAGCCAAATAAATGCTGTGGTTGGTTCTAAAATATCTTGCAAAAGAGATGCAACTAACTTTTATTATTACCACCATATGCCACTTTAACTCTAAGTCCCAGGGGTTTAACATCAGAGGCCCAAGCGGTGGTAATGCAATTTTTTAAATTTCACAAGGGTAACACAAAACATTCTGTGCAAGATCCACATATTATACATCACAGTGACCAAGAATTGTTGTGGAGTAATAATAGAATACTGCTCTAACAAATAATTGCATTAGTAGTTAAATATTAGTAAATTAACAGACAGTATGTTCACAGAAGTGAGTGGAGTTGATTCAAGAACCGACATCACAGCACTTGGGGCATTCCCACAAGTGCTCCGTCCCCATCTTCATCAGCCAGTGAAGAGTTCTGATACTAATGGTGCCAGTTGCTTTCTGATTAAATGTCCGTCTTGCCTTCCCTCTGAGCCTCGAGCATCACCAGAACCTCTCGTCCCTTCCTGCTGCATCAGTCTCACCAGACTGTGGTGATCCATCTGCTCCTCCGAACTGTACATGCTCTCTCACAAAGTACTAACCACATCTGCCCTATCATGCATCAGTGTTCCACCAAGTTGTGCAGAGCAAGCCAGTCTGTCAACTAGTCTGTCCGCCTGTTCATTTTCCAACATACTAACATTTCCCTGTGAAAAAATCCAAACAATACTCCTCACCCATGTCCTCCGCAGTGAAGCATGCCACTCTGCACGAAGCATGCTTGTCCTGATCTTCCTCAGCATGCTTTTATTTCTTACAAAAATTAGTAGATTAAATAATAATGTTTCCACTTACTACCATGGCGCTCAAGGAAATCTTGTTAAAATATATACAAAATTAATCAAAAATGAACATAAGCCATTTAGTAATGAACTGACTTCCCACAAAAATTAGTATCTTCATAAAGAACGATATATAACACTCAATTTGCCTGTAATTGTGTAGTTATGTTCCCAAAAAATATGGGGAATCGCACTAGGACTGACAATGAAAAAAATGGCCTTTTCTCTAATATTTATTCTATCTGTGCCAGCTGAGTGTTATCATTGTACCCTTTGTATGAGGTACTTGACTCTATAAATGACTGAAACAAGTCTACTTAATGTTATCTATCTAACTTCGAATAAATCTAATAAACACATTTAAAAAATTTAAATCTGAGGCTTCTAAAGCGTTAAATCATGTCTACATGCATGTAGAATACTGCTCGGCGACCATACTGTTCTTAAACAAACATTTAGGGACTCGGTACACCTAGCAAATATACTATATTTTAGGCTTTTAACCACGTTTACAAATAAGTCTGATGGTCAATACGTCTGATATCAAACACAAAGAACTGGAGAGAAAGTAGAAATGGAGTTTTCCGGGTTTTATTACTGGTCAGTGATAAATTAAAAACCTTCTCTCATCACACACTGATTGGGTTGCTGGGGTGTAACCAATTAATGCGTGTTGCAAATCCTGGGACTCCAAGAGTTAATAATTCAAGCTTACAGCTGAAAATGTAAAAAAAACTTACAGTTTTAAACTCCATTAGCTCCTGCTGCAGTGTTGCAATCTCAGCTCTGAGCTGAGCCAGCTGCCTGCTAGCCTTGTCTTGGTTAGCTGTAACTTTATTCTTGATATTACGAGCACGGTTTGCATACTTCAGGGTGTTTAAAGTTTCCATGAAATCTCGGTCGGAGGGTGATATGCAAGCTATCATGAGAGTTCGACTGTGAAAATGAAATATGTAAATAGTATACTGCTTAAAAAGAAGTATATCACTCATCATAAGTAACCTCTCAATCAATCAGACATCATAAGTAACATCTCAATCAATCAATCAATAAGGTCCTGTCTTCACATCAAAGGCTGGTTGCAATGGATCTCCACCACCTGTCTTTTTTTTCTTCTTGGTTGTACACACTCTCAGACTGCTGTTCGTCCATTTGTTTATGTTGTCCTTCCACTTGTATCACTGTCTACATCTTGATCTCTTGCTTTGAAATTTCCCCCCCCCCCCCCCCCCCCAGTATGGTTTTTATAGTGTCCGGGAGAGAACGATGACACAGGGTAGAGATGTTGAAAGGCAAGGCAAACCTTCATGAAGCTGGATACAAGACACTGAAAATGTATAGGCCATAGCCACTAGGCCATAGCACACTAGGCTGGAGACAGAGAGATGTTCAGATATGTCGGGATGACAGCAACGTTCAGTTAAAGACCTGCTGACTGACAATAGTTTTTTTAAGAGTTAAATCTTTTAAAGTAGGCAAAATATTTCACCTCTCTCCTTTTATTCCCAGTCTCTTAAGAACCTCTGCATTTGATCTCTTCCCCCCCCCCCCCCCCCACTACACACTTTTTTTAAAAACGGCGTCGACAACAACAATTTAATCCTCTGCATATCCACAGAGTAACAAATGCTGGTGACTATATCTGTAGAGACAATCCAAACTGAAACTTTAACCAAGCATGAAAGGCTAAGCTCAACCAGACATCATTTGCTTTTCCGTCACACTAAAAATGGATAGCAAATTATAAGTCTAAATAGTGACAAAAAGTTGAAACTGAGAGAAAAATCACATAAATTATTAATTCCCACTCTTGCATCCTTAATGACTGTGTTAATTATTCAGTGTTTAGAAGACAGAAAGATGTACGCTGCGGTTGTGCAGCAGTTAGATGCACCTCCTGCTGGCCCGAAGGTCGAGGGTTCGAATTTGTATCCAGTCTGGATTTTTTTTTTTTTTAAATCTGACTTGGCTTCCAGGTGACCAAGCCTAAAATGGGTACAAAATAAAGTCTTGGGAAGTAAAGGTGGCCAGCAAGATGCTGAGCATATTAACCATGGAGGGCTGACTGGTCTATGAAAATATGAATCTAGCAGAATATGCCCATGCATCACTGTCATGCAAAGGGTCCTTCACTTTTACTTAAAATAGAAAGAGTTCTTCCAGTGTGGGTTCCGGAGCCCCTCTGTGGAAAAAACAAGAATAGATCCACCCAAAAAAGCACGCCCTAAGAGTCGACCACACACACAACTTCCCATCAGAATTTACAGACGGTGAACATAAAGAAAAAGACAGAATTCTAGACATTACCTATTTCCCCCCAATGAATCCTGCAGCAACCTGGTCAGCTTTGAATCCCTGTAGGGCACATGACTTCCCCGTTTGGTATTGTCTCCCAGAGCAGATATCACATTGCCCAGGGCAAGCTAGAATGATTTTAAGAAGTTTATATTTCATATATAAATAAAAGATACAGAACACATATCACTAACAAAGAAAATCAAAGTTTTTTAATATGAATGTTCCCCGTGTGGGTCCCAGCAGCTCCCATTTGGAGGAAAACATGGATACAAGACAATGAAGATACACTGACTATGAAAGAACAGAGAGCTGGAGAATTGGCTAGAAAAAGATCTTTTTAGGCATGATGACAGCAATGTTTTGTAAAGCACCTGCTGACTGATGATCATGACACGTGAAATAAAATTCATAAACAGTGAATAAAAACTCACCAAACCACAGTTAATTGAGATTCCTTCCTTAGCCCTATCTCCTGTTGCCCCTGTTCTCTTCAACCTTTCGGAGCCTGCCAGATCTACAAAGTGAAATTTGGCAGTTAGGGTCTCAAACTCAGTCTGGGTGGAATCAGTGTCTTTTCCATCTTCCAGTGGGGCCTAGCAAAAGAACAATTTAAACAATATATATTAAACTAATTTACTAACATTAACAACTAACAGAAAAAAAAAATTCTGAATCAAGCTACCTGGCAGCTGCACAAGTTATTCATCTTCTTTATTCACATCCACATCAACAAATGAATGTCTATAATAACAGCACAACTTGGTTTCTGGTTTATGAGAATTCTGTTCAGTTTATAATACTTAAGGGCAGATTCCCACTAATGAATCTCACTGTTCAGTCATCTAGTTCTAGATTTTGCAGGGTGGTTATTATCAAGAATGTGTATTTCTCCTTCTTCTTCGCACTCAGGCTGTATACTCAGATAGCATGTTCTAGTTGTTCATCTCCTTCTGGAATAATTTATTTGGTCTTGTTTTAGAACTTGAGTTTTGTGTGCACATCCATTGTAAGGATCTGGCTTATTTGTATGCAGAATGTTGGTTCCTCACCTATCAAGTAGATGCAACCCAAAAGACTCAAGTCAAGAATGTGGAAACAGTGGAAAGTTCTTTCCTGGTCCCCTTTTCTTCACAGAAATTTCCCAGAACCTTCTGAAGAGTGTAGGGTGCCTATTTGAATTAGGCTGGGTCTACTACACCACCATATTAGTCAGGAGGGAAAAAATCCTGTATCTGAGGGGGATTGAACCCAGCCCAATGCCTTAACAGGAAAGCATAATAACTACTTTGAAATATGCAACAATGATTTATTATGATACAAAAATCAGGCCTACTATTTCAACTGAATTAATCACTTCGATCAGGCACCTGCAGAAGAAAATATAAAAAGAGAGGTAACTAGTAGAAACATTTCCTTAAAGAAAACTTTCTCATCCACAGAAGCTTTCACAGGACTGCTCACCTCATCTCTCACCATCCGATGTTGCCGTACATGAAGTGTAAATATAGCATGAGATCTGGATGATGACACATTCATATTGGTTGAGGCTGTTGCTCGAGACAAAGCGCCAGATTTGAGACACTGGAGAGTCTGAAAAACAGCAGAAGCAAATGTCAAACCATTTTAGATTTAGAAAAAGTATTGTTTTAGGAAGAATTATTGCCTCAGAAACCACCATCACCAACATCCATTGCCATCTTCATACTGAGGATTGGCTGTAAGTCTTGAAGACTGGCTGTGGTAGGTCTTGAAGATCGGCTGTGATATGTCTTGAAGATCGGCTGTGATATGTCTTGAAGATCGGCTGTGATATGTCTTGAAGATCGGCTGTGATATGTCTTGAAGATCGGCTGTAATGAATCTTGAAGATCGGCTGTAATGATTCTTGAAGATCGGCTGTAATGAATCTTGAAAAGTGGTTATAATAAGCCCTAAAGACTGGCTGTAGCAAGTCTTGAAGATTGGCCAATCCCATCTAGTCTGTATGTAATGTACTGAATTATAACCTGATTACATTGCAAAAATGCCTCTCCACAGATGTCAAGCTCCAGTACTGGTCTCTGGCCTTGCAGACCCTGATGGTTTCTGAGCTTGAAGAGGGAAAGGAAGCTAGGCAGGACAGTCCTACTATTTTAGTAGCGGATCAAGAGGAAAGTCTTGCACCAATACCCTGTCGGATTAAGGTAAATATTTAGATCTTAACCCTTTCACCATGGAAATACTTACAAAACGAGAGAAAACTGTGAGAACCCCTTTGAAAAAATCATTTAAAAACACATACATAACCATTTGACACAGGTCACAAAATAATTTTTTTTAAAGGTACTTATCAAAGAAAGAGAAATCAGAACTCATCTGAAAACTTAAGAATCATGAAACATAACTACTTGACTTACATCATCAAGAGATGTTACTGGTCTTGTGTTGACACCAACTACAAATATCCCACCACTAGCATCTTCATGTATTCTGTTCTGAGATTTCTTTCCCTGTTTGAAAAAAAAAAGGAGCGAACAGGTTAAATATGCCCAACTAAATGACAGTAAATATCTGTTCACTGTAAATCATCATTTATTAAGTATCAGTGAATCTGATACACAACAATAATAGCAGACTCAAAGTCACAAGGTATTAGACAGGAATAATACCTGCTCTGCTACAAACGGTTGTGCATGCTTTGCAATTGTTTTCCTTGGTCTGCCTATTCCTCTTTGATGAGTATGTGGTTTTTCTAGTCCTCTTTTTGCGGTTTCTTAATGTCTTTGGCCATGGCAAAGTCAATTTAGCATTTGTTTTGAATTAACTCAATCTAGCTAATTCTTCATACACTTTGTATCTCCTTTATCCAAAGTCCATGTTTTACAACTATATAATGTGAATTACCGGACTAATAGACAAGGAATGTTTATTTTATTATTTTAACCTAAATACTTTAAATGTCAGGTGTGTGTTTTTTTTTAAATATATTAATATCCTCAATGCCATCACACCCTCCTGTATGAGATAAGTTAATGGTCCCAAGTCAGTAGTGTTCTAATTGAGTAAACTGTTGCAGCAGCAATATTACACTGTTTTCAGGTGTAAGTCTAGGCAGGCACCAAACTTATGACACTTCAGCATCATATATAGAAGACATTTCATGTTGTTTCTGGAATGCCATTTCATTTAGGTTGTCTACTTCAACCACCATTTAATAAAAAAGTCAAGGACCCTTTTCCACGCCTTTAGGCGTATAGGGCATACAGGGCTAGACCTATATTTTTATAGACCAATCGGCCCAAGATGGGTGATGTGGTCAGCATCGCGCCGGTCGCCTTTACTTCCCATGACTGCACCCAGTACCCACTCAATGCTGGGTCGACCTGGGAGCCAGTCATTTTTGAAAAAAAGTACAGCTCCACCAGGAAGAGAACCCTTTCGATCCATGGCAAGCGTCTAGCCACTCGGCCACGGCGACCACTATAAACTTTTTTGGAAAATAATCATGATATAGTCACCACAGCAGCAACAGTGACTGTGAGGTGTAGATAGATTTCGAGAATGTTGAATGTTGAATAAGGAATCAACATCACTGCACTCTGGACCCTTCCATAAGCGGTCCGTCTCCATCTTCAGCAGCAAGCGAAGAGTTCCAATTCCAGTGGCACCAGTAATGGCACGACAATGTTAACATGACCTAATCCATTTAAATGTTATCGAGATGCTGCTGGGTAACGCCGAGTATTCTCATCTCTCGAGCTCGCATCCTAGATTTCTCCTTGTATTCTAGGGCACACAAACTGGCGAGCCTGACCTTGTATTCTGAAAAATTCATTTCCAAGCACACTCGTAACATGAGGTTCCACTGTATAAAAGAATAAAACAGTGGAAGGGAAAAGGCTAATGTGATCAAACTAACAGAGATGTAACAAAATGGTGGACTTGAAATAGATGTGAAGTCAGAAATAATAAAGACAACAGAAAGGCCGGTGAGCACAGAGAAGTGTATACACAGGTGTTTCCCCAAATGGGAACAACGTAGGAGATACAGCATTGGTAATAACTTCACTGTCAATTTTTCAGACTTTGTATTCTTCTTCTTCTGCATTCATTCGAAGATGTAATTGCGTTGTGTCCGTTTACAGCATGGCTACGACATTTACACCTTTCGGCCAACACATCCGATTTCTGCAGCCATTTGTTGACAGGGTTAGCCTTCCCGGTAGACTTTGTATTCAAAGTCACAGGACAATATTTTATATTTGCGTGCTCTTCTGAGCCATAGATTATAAGATAATTCTTCCTTCACATCTCCTACCTTCATACTGGGATCCTTTGTTGTGTCAAGCAGGTCAAATATTTCTTCATTATACAACTGCAAAAGAAAAAAAAAAAAAAAAAAAAAACATAAAAATGAATCAGAATAGTCAAGTATTTCATACTTTCTAATTTTACACTAGTGTAGCATACACAGAAATACCATTTCTTCTGTAAAATATTCATTCTGAAACTTTAATGGCCACATATATGCCAGACCTGGAAGAAAAAAGTACTATGGCACATTGTCCAAGCTCCTTAAATGCACAGACCAAATGGTGCTGGTTGTACTGCACTGCCACCTTTTCTTCACAAGACATTTGCCTGTACATATTTTAGGTGGAGTAGACCTTGGAGCAGATACTGATTTTTTTAAACCAACCTGGATAGAGATTTTAAATAATAACTTTTGGATTTGCATGCAAACCTACTCTAATAACATTTTAGTAGACATTTTAGCTTGTTTACCAAAAGATTTAAACTTACCGAAAAAAAAAAGTGAAAAAGACTGGGTGCTCACCATGTAATATCACCATAATTAAAATCAGAGTGATAAGTTCTTGGTTTGTTAGTTAGTTGGTGAATCGTTTGGAAGACTGTCCATTATAACTCTTAGAGTAAGTCTGGTTTGTAAGAGTTCAAGCTGTCTAATCCTGAAAGGGCTGGCATTTATAAAAGTGAGGCTGGTGTTTATAAATTCAGCTGCTGGTACCAAACTGCTACCTTCACTGTGACCGGGTTGTGGACTTTTCCTTTCTCTCTCCAAACTCATAATCCAATGAGGTGTGCGAAACATACAGATTTAATTGTCCCCAGGCCATGAATCAGCACATAACATGCTAACAAGCAAAGAAGGTCTCTGGTTTGAATTTGTACTGAGCCGATTTTTTAAATAACAAACAGACCTTGGCTTGCATGTGGACTTAACCTAAAATGCGTACCAGGAAATATCCTCAGAAATAAAGGTGGCTAACATGATAACCACATCACAAATCGAGTGCTGACTGGGGAGTTAAAAACAACAACACTATCTAGCATCATATGCCCACTATGACCTTGACGTATAAAAGGATCATTTATACTTGTTTACACACTAACAGATTTGGAGAACCTCTGTCGCCCTGAGACGCCACAAAACCGACACTTTTTGGTGGGTCCTATTCCCCCTAAATGTCACTTTTCAGACTTGTCTGAAGTCTTTACGAGGCTTATAGTTAATGCTATTGGCTGAGTTCACGCCCGCACAAAGATTTAGGAGGTCAGGATATGAATATTTTAGTTTAAAAAAAATTGTATTTAGGTTTTTTTCTGTGAAACAAATAGCCTTCTTAAAGAAAAGTAAATATCAAATTTTCCTGAAAGCCTCAGTGATAGCAGTCATGGGGTCCCCGTATAAGTCACCTGTAATATATTATTTTTTAGACCCCAGGGAATGTATTGCATTTAATGCTTTAATCTGTTTGTGTGTATTTTATTACCCCATTTATATATCTTTATATATGGGGGTGGGGGGGGGGGGGGAGGTTGGTTAAAAATATAAATTAGGACTTTAAAAAAAAAAAAAAATTATTACTGACCCCTGTACAACTGTTGTCTTTTAAGGATATTTTGGGGAATCCTCATGGGTAAGAAATTCTTCTTCTTCTTCTTCTTCGCGTTCACCAGCTGTACACTCTGGCGTAAAGTTCTGGTTGTTCGTCCACTTCTGGACTGGAGTTTTGCTCCAGAACCTGAGTGTTGCGTGTGCATCAGTTTTACAGATCTGATTCAATTGAATGTAGACTGCTTGTTCCTTGCCTCTCAGGCAGATGCACTCCGACTTCAAAGGAAGCTCCCCAGTTAGTCGACTCTTACAACATGCTTTTGGGGAGGCAGTGGGTCTATTCTTATTTTCCTCACAATAGGGCCCCGGAACCCACCTGGGGGGGGGGGGGGGGGGGGAAGAAATTGACCTCTTTTGTCCATTCTACTTTTCCCAAATGGGAACAATGTAGGAGACATTCAGTTAATAATGTGAAACCGTGAACCTGTGAAGGAAATATTACAGAGGCTGGAGGGGCGACGAAAGTGGATAATAATTTTTAAAACCTGCCTCGACAGAGGGTTGTCTAGGATTAAATTTCATGCTAAGGCAGATTTTCTTTTTTTTTTTTTTTTTTTCAAATCTGACCTTGGCTCCCAGGTCCAACCCAACCTAAAATGGGTAACAGAAAATGTCATTAGAAATAAAAGTGGCCACA